CTAATGGACCTTGATATTCATTTAATACCAATAGACTTACCCCAGTATCCAAAAGAAAGGAAATAATCTTACCAGATACTATCCCAATTACCCTGGGCTTCGTGGACTTACCAGATGTGGGGGTGAAGGATTCCAAGTACCCTCAGTCTTCCGTTGTCAGCACCAGCAGTGAAGAGATTTCCTCCTGTGATGGTTGGGGGCTTCATTATGAGCAGCATCTGAATGGGGAAGATGTCCCTGTTGAGGGCATTCCATCGTCCAGTGTCCGCAAAGACTGCAAGTTGGGCATGGTTTGGTGGGAGGCCAGGGGTTAGGACAAGCCTTTGCCCAGTGTCCAGGGTTGCCTCATTGAAAACAGACTCCTGGAGAGGTGGGGGAGTTTCCCTTTGGGTTATTAGGAGGCTTTTGTGTAATTGACTTTTGGACAGTGGAGGCAAGCATCTGGTATTTTAAATGGAGATGTTTGTCTTCTTGAATTTTTTGTTCTTCTTGTCTGTTGTTAAAGACCCAGAAGGTTGCATTTAGGAGCTCCTGCCAAGATGCCTGAGGACCCTCCTCTAATTTTTGTAATTTTTTGTGGATATCTGGGGTGGATTGGGAAATAAATTGGAGGTAGAGAAAAGTTTGACCTTCTCTAGATTCTGGATCCAAAATGGTATATTTTAGCATAGCTTCAATGAGGTGTGATAAGAAAAGGGCAGGGTTTTCCTGGTGCTCTTGTGTAATTTCTCTGAGCTTTTCAGAATTAACTGCCTTATAAGCATTTTTGTCCATGCCTGTGAGGAGACAGGTAATCATGTGGTCTCTTCACCTGATGCCATTGTCTCCCTGTTGGTAAGTCCAGTCTGGGCCTCTATAGGGGACTGCATCATTGGCCACTGGATTTTGTATAGGGGCTTGATTATGGAGTTCATCTGTGTGTGTTTCAGCTGACTGCCGGATGCGCTCTTTTTTGTCAGGGGTGAGGGTGGAGGTTAGAATTATATAAATGTCATGCCAAGTTAAATTAAAGGATTGGGTTATGTGCAGGAATTCCCTGTGATAGATTTTCAGAGAAAGATCCTAGACACTGTTCGATCTGTGACAAATCAGACATGGAGAAAGGGGATATGAACACAAGCAATGCCTTCAACCCTAGCGCCTTCCCAGAGAGGGAGAATGGCAGAGGTGGTTTGACTGGCTGGAGTATTGTTTGAATGGGTAATGGGTGGAGAAGGATAAGGGTTGGGATTTGGCACTAAAGGCTGGGGGCAAGAGGGGCCAAAGAGATGGAGGGTTTGGATGGGCAAGAAATGGATGCAGGGGTTGAGAGTATGGAGGGAGTTCATCTGCAGGGTCAAAGGGGATTTCAGGGGAAGAGGTTTCAGAGGGAGGAGAGACCCAGGGAGGTTTTCATTAAGAAGAAGGATTTCACGAGGGGTGCAAGCTTGACATAAGGAGGGTTGGGATTTAAGGTAGAAGGAAGCCTGAATATAGGGAACCTCTTGCCATTTGTCATTCCTGGTTATAAAGTTGTCAAGGTCCCTGAGAATTTGAAAGTCAAAGGTGTCGTTTTCAGGCCATCGGCTGTCATTATCTAATTTGTATTGGAGCGAGGCCATGTTGCAATGAAAAATTAAACACTTTGACTTTAGGTTCCCCCATAAGCCAAGTTTGGTGAGGTTGTGAAGGAGACAGTCCAGTGGGGAGGACATAGGAATGTGGAATTGTTTGGCACCCATGTGGACTGATAAGAGGAGGCCGAGAGTATCTGTTTTTGTTCTAGGCATCCCCAGACAAAAGACAGAGACCTGGAATCCTCTTTATAAAGAGGACAGTTAAGCTGAGAAGAAACTGAGCATCCCTAAGATTTCTTCAACTTAGTCCCACTGGTCCTCCAAGGACCAGGACAGCAGACCTGACTTTCCCAGGTACTGTGAGAAAGCTAGGAAAGGCAAATCTTACCGGTTGGCTGGATTAGTGTCTGATGTTGGATGTTCTGGTTGGAATCAGTAAAGGGCCTCCTGGACTGGAGCCACGTGAGGAAGAGAGAGAGAGAGAGAGAAGAGGGAGGAAGAATGGACAAGGGTTAGAGAGCAAAATACCTGTTGCAGGCAGTCAAGGTGGATTCCTGAGACCTGAGGGTTTTGAGAACCCACTGGAGAGTAGCCCCAGCCCAAGCCTCACAGTCCCCTTCAGATTAGTTATCCACCTCATGCAAATTGCTTGAAAAGTGAAGAGAGAGAAAAGACGTGACAGGTGGCCAGAGACCCTCAGGACCCAGGAGTTATCTCGGGACAAACTGACGCTGCCCACTGCTTCCTGGGTTGCAAGAGTTGAAGAAAGAAGAAGGAAACTTGAAAAGTGGCTGAACAGTCAAAGACAGGTTTATTTTAGAGAATAAACCTGAGAGGGGCTTCTGGCTGATTTTGGTCAGGAACATTCTCTCTTACAGACTAAGGGTACTTAAGGATTTAGGGAGGGAGAGCTTATCACAGGTTCAGAATGTTTCTGGGTAGAGGAGAGTTTTATTGTGGGGTTGGAATGTCTGGTCAGAGGGGAGGTTATCTCAGGGTTGGCGTGTCTCTGGTCGGAGGGGATTTATCTCAGGTTTGGAAGGTTTCTGGTCAGAGGTGTCATTTGTCGTTTATGGTCATGCTGACATTAGCCATTAGGCTGATGTTTTGGGGCTGGATTTAGGCAGTTTTTAATCAAGGGGAACTTAAAATAGCGGTGCTTGTCCAAGATGGCAATGCTCCTGTTCTGTCAAAGATGGAATTGTGAAATAGAATTTGTTTGAAGATACATTTGTTCATTCAACAGAAGTTTCTTGAGGGCCCATTATAAGGCTAAATTATATTTCCACCTGAACAGTTTAATTGATGTTGCACTATCTGGCCCACAGTGGATCATGGCTCTTGGAGAAGTAATATTTAGACAGATCCAAATTGAATGTGGTAATTGTAGATCTTTGTGATGCTTATGTGGACTTCTCTGACATCTGTATAAGTTATTAATATTGAAAACAAATACTCCTATAAATCAGTGATTGAAAAAAATACTTCTGCAGGAATTAGAATTGATCCACTTGAATCTGTTTTCTACTTTCTAGCTCCATACCAGATTTCACTTGAAAAAAATGTCTGCTCTGCTATAGACAGTATGTTTGGATTTAAAATGAAATGTCTGAAACAATGGAGGCCTGTTTGCATTGGGGGGCATTGAATATAAAAGTTTAGAAAACAATACAGAATCAAATATTTATTAAGCACTCGATATAGAATTGGCACTGTGCTGGGCATCAGGTTTATGGTAGGAACAAATAAAATGGACCCTGTTGTCATGGAGTTTCATGGGGATGACCAACTTTAAATAAACAATTACATGAGCAGGCGAAGCACAGTGGCTCATGCCTGTAATCCCAGCACTTTGGGAGGCTGAGGTGGACGGGTCACTTGAGGTTAGGAGTTTGAGACCAGCCTGGCCAACATGGTGAAACCCCGTCTCTACTAAAAATACAAAAATTAGCAGATGTTGTAGCACACATCTGTAGTCTCAGCTACTTTGGAGGCTGAGGCAGGAGAATTGCTTGAATCCAGAGGGCAGAGATTGCAGTAAACGGAGATCGCACCACTGTATTCCAGCCTGGGTGACAGAGCAAGATCCTGTCTCAAAAAAAGAAAAAAAAATCTGCAGGAACAAACTATGGTCAGAGCTGTGAAGGGAAAGCAATGGCATGGAGAGAAATGAAAGCAGGGGTGAGGCGAGGTTTCTCTGGGGTCACAATTGTGGGGAGGCCTAAAGGATGAGTGGGCACAGAGCAGTGGGTGCTAGGTGGAAGGAAGGACATGTGAGAAGGTGAAAGTGGAAAAGGTGATGTCAAAGTTCGAGAACAGTCAAAAGAGCATGTGCTTTGATTGCAATGAGCAGGGGCACAGTGCCTTGAGATGAGGGTGCTGAGGAGACAGGGTCCTCCTCATCTGGCACCTTATAGCCCGTTTAAGGGCTTTTTGTTTTTGTCAAATGCAAAGGTTGGCTATTGGAGAGTTTCGGCAACAGAGAGACAGAGCTAGACTCAGTTTTCATCCCTCTGGTTGCTGTGTGGGTCATAGATTGGAGTAGGGGAAGAGAGGAAGTGGGGATCCAGTTAACAAGCTACTGCCATGGCCTAGTGGAAGCATGGACTGGGGTGAAGATGTTGGAGGCAGAGGAAAGTGGGCAGATACCAGCAATGTGTTTTGGAGGTAGAATTGACAGGTCTTAATTATGGAACACGAAGCTTGAGGGAGAAGAGAAAACCAAGTAGAAACCTAGGCAGGCTTAGAGCATATGCCCATTTCTCTTATAACAGCTTGATGATGTTAGCTGTGGAGCACCATATAGCAATTCCTTTGAACATTTTATGTTTGTGATAGGATTTTTATCATGGCTTTTTTTTTGTTTTTTGTTGTTGTTGTTTTGTTTTGTTTTTGTTTTTTTGAGAAGGAGTTTCGCTCTTGTCGCCTAGGCTAAAGCACAGAAGTGTGATCTTGGCTCACTGCAACCTCTACCTCCCAGGTTTGAGCGATTCTCCTGCCTCAGCCTCCTGAGTAGCTGGAATTACAGGCGCTTGCCACCACACCTGGCTAATTTTTGTATATTTAGTAGAGACGGGGTTTCACCATGTTGGCCAGGCTGGTCTTGAACTCCTGACTTCAGGTGATCCACCCGCCTTGGCCTACCAAAGTGCTGAGATTACAGGCATGAGCCAATGCACCCGGCCTTATCATGGCTTTTGAAAAGCCAGGAGTTCACTGTGACTGCCAGGGGAGATATGCTGTGTTGGACTCGCCCTGGGAGGAGTGAGAGGACTACTCTTTGTGAGTCAAGAGTTTCTGCCAAGTGGATCTTTCTTATTCAGAAGGAGAGAGTCATAGTTGTTATACTGTCCATTTCACAAGTGACATTAAAGGGAAAGGAGTGGGGAGGCGAGGAAGGGCTGAGCATAAAATGTCAAAATAACTGTGGTTTTTATCTTTAAGGTTTAGCACGGATTTTAAAGAAATAGAATTCATTAGCATGGGTGGATTTGGCCAAGTTTTCAAAGCAAAACACAGAATTGACGGAAAGACTTACGTTATTAAACGTGTTAAATATAATAGCAAGTAAGTAGTAAATGTTTAAATTTTTTGAATGGCAAGATATGCTGAATCTGCACTATTTCTTTTTATGCTTCTCTCTTCTTTATTAGGATATCATTTATTTCTTTCTCATACTCATTAAACATTTTATTCTACCAAGAGGAGTTTGGCTTACTCCAAGATGATATCACTTTACTGTGGTTATTTCAATAAAAATGGTATACCATTGATCATCCTTTCGGTGCTATCTTCAGAACTAAAGCTGTAGAGTCATTTGCTTTAAAGTGGCATGCAAATTCATGAAACGTGCCATATTTTAAAAACCATGGCACCAAATAGAACCTTCATTACCCACAAAAAAGGTGATATTTGAGATGTTCTAGTCTTACCTCCCTATTTTACAGGTGAGGAGACTAAGATCCAGAGATGTAAAGTGATTTTGTCTAAGATAAAAGCTAGATGGTAATTGTTCTCTGGTTGTCTGTTATTGTATAAGGCACTGCTCCAAAATGCAGTGGCTTAAAAACAGCAATTTATTGTTATCTCTGATGGTTTCATGGGTTGATTGTGTTCATCTGGACAATTCTCACTTGGGGTCTCAGAGGCATTTGCAGTCAGTAGTCAACTGAAACCTTGACTACAACCTATCCTAGGCTGGATATCCAAGCTAGCTAGCAGTTGACACTGGCTGTGGGCTGGAAGTTCAGATGGGACTGTGAACCAGAATACCTTCACATGCCCTCTCTGTGGGGACTGGGCTTCTTACAACTTAGTGGCTGAGTTCCAAGAACTATTGTCCCCAGAACAAGTCATCCAAGAGACCAGGAGTGAATGGCAAGGCCTCTTTTGACCTAGTCAGAAGAGTTCCAGAACATCACTACCATTAAGTTATATTGGTTAAACAAGTCACTGGAGCCAGCTTAGATTCAAGGTGGGGGAGGTGGCAAATAGGCTCTACCCATTAATTTAAGGAGTGGAAGCATGTATGGGAGGATAAATAATTGATCAAGATTATCTTTGGACATGATCTCCTATGTAATCAGATTGGGATTTAGAACTCATCCCCTGGAATGACAATTCAATGTGTTCCCACTGTAACCCACTGCTTCCAACATTTGTTTTCTGTATTATCTGCCCTCTCACTCCCACTGGATAGCAGAACTCCTTCAGGAAGGAAAACAAATAGAAAGGAGGTCTTAAATCACATGGTCACCAATTCACCAATCTTGCTTGTTGCACTCTGGCAATTGTTACTATGTGTAGCTTGGCCAGACCAATCTGATCCCTCAAAGACTAGCAAAGGAGATGGGAAAGGGATCTGGGCTAAGAAAAATGATATGTGCAAAGGAGAGGTAGGTGTGGAGTGCTGGATGTTCTTAGCCTAGTTAAACAAACCTATTTCTTCTCTCATGGACGATGCCTTGCATTTGAAGTAGGATCATTCCTACTATGTTCATTGTTTTATTTAACAAGAATGAAGGACAGCTGTACTGTTATTCTTTCCATTAGATAGCAATTTTTAAAAATGGTAATAATATCCCAGCTACTTGGGAGACTGAGGTGGGAAGATTGCTTGAGGCCAGGAATTTGAGACCAGCCTGAGCCACATAGTGAGACCCAGTGTCAAAAAAGAAAAGAAAAAACAATGAGGGCTGGGCATGGTGGCTCACACCTGTAATCCCAGCACTTTGGGAGGCTAAGGTGGGCAGATTACTTGTGGTCAGGAGTGTAAGACCAGTCTGGCCAACATGGTGAAACCCTGTCTCTACAAAAATACAAAAATTAGCCAGGCGTGGTGCCACAAACCTGTAATCCCAGCTGCTTGGGAGGCTAAGGCAGGAGAATTGCTTGAACCCGGGAGGTGGAGCTTGCAGTGAGCTGAGATCACACCACTGCACTCCCGCATGGGCAACAGAGTGAGATTCCATCTCAAAAAAAAAAAAAACAGATAATTATGTTGATGAAGGTCCAGTATCTTGGCCATTTCTAGTAGTTTATACATTGGTACAACTACTAGAAATATATATATATATATATTTTTTTTTTTTTTTTGAGGCAGAGTCTCACTCTGTCGCCCAGGCTAGAGTGCAGTGGTGCATTCTCGGCTCACTGCAACCTCTGTCTCCCGGGTTCAAGCAATTCTTTGCCTCAGCCTCCCAGGTAGCTGGGATTACAGGTGCCCAGCACCATGCCTGGCTAATTTTTGTGTTTTTAGTAGAGACAGGGTATCGCCATGTTGGCCAGATGGTCTCGATCTCTTGACCTTGTGATCTGCCTGCCTTGGACTCCCAAAATGCTAGGATTACAGGTGTGAGCCACCACACCTGGCCCAGTCAGTTATTTTTAATGGCTGCAAAATAGCCATTGATCAGGGGACAGAAAAAAATATATTTACTCATTTCTTTACTGCCGAATATTTTGTTTGTTCTAATTTTTCATTGTTAATTGAATGACACCATGATTTATATCTTCTTGGATATAAATCCATAATTTGAGTAACATTCTTTTTTTTTTTTTTCTTTTTTTGGAGATAGAGTCTCACTCTGTCACCCAGGCTGTAGTGCAGTGGTGTGTTCATGGCTGGGCGCAGTGGCTCATGCCTGTAATCCCAGCACTTTGAGAGGCCAAGGCTGGCGGATCACTTGAGGTCAGGAGTACAAGACCAACCTGGGCAACATGGCAAAACCCTGTCTCTACAAAAAAAATATAAAAACTAGCCAAGTGTGGTGGTGTGTGCCTGTGGTCGTAGCTACTTGGGAGACTGAGGTGGGAGGATCGCTTGAGCCATAGGGGTGCAGGTTGCAATGAGCCAGGATCACCACTGTACTCCAGCCTGGGTGACAGAGTGAGACCCTGTCTTAAAAAAAAAAAAAAAAGAAAGAATCTAAAATAATAACAGATTATTTTAGGATTGTCAAAGTATCAGTATTTTTTTTTATTTTTGCAAATTTTATGTCATATAGTTTAGAACTTCTTGTGTTAAAAAATAAAATCGTAAAATGTTTGATTATCCTTCCTCATCTTTGAAATCTCCAATTTATTTACTGCATTTAGCATGAAATTGTCTTAGGTCTTGGCAACACATCCCTATAAAGGCTCCCACCATCTCACTTTCTCTGCATAAGTTATCCTCTTTGTGTATATTTGCCACACATTGAAAATCCTGAATTAGGTACTTCACGCTGCCTGTGTTACTTAGCCTTGCTGCCTCAACGTGATTTGCTTGTGAAATCCAAAGATTTTAACACAAGTCTAAGCAAAATAATGTATGATTTAGCTATGAAAAATTGCATCAGCTGGGTCCAGTGGCTCATGCTTGCAATCCCAGCACTTTGGGAGGCTGAGGCGAGTGGATTGCTGGAGCCCAGGAGTTTGAGACCAGCATGGGCAGCATGGCAAAACCCCATCTCTACAGAAAATAGAAAAAATTAGATGGGTCTGGTGGTGTGCTCCTGTGGTCCCAGCTACTCAGGAGACTGAGGTGGGAGGACTGCTTGAGGATAGGAGGCTGAGGCTGCAATGAGCCAAGGTCGTGCCACTGCACTCCAACGTGGGTGACAGAGCAAGACCCCATCTCAATAAAATTAATTAATTAATTAATTAAAATGGCATCACTGGCATTTCAAGAGTGCTAAAGAAGATTTTTAAATTCTCTGATGTTTGGCATTAAGTCACTGCCTTTTATTTATTTATTTTGAGACACAGTCTTGCTCTGTCACCCAGGTTGGAGTGCAGTGGTGTGATCTTGACTTACTGCAACCTCCGCCTCCCGGGTTCAAGCGATTCTTCTGCCTCAGCCTCCCAAGTAGCTGGGATTACAGACGTGCACCACTGTGCCCAGCTAATTTTTTTGTATTTTTAATAGAGATGGGTTTCACCATGTTGGTCAGGCTGATCTTGAACTCCTGACCTCGTGATCCACCCACCTTGGCCTCCCAAAGTGCTGGGATTACAGGCATGAACCACTGTGCCCAGATGCTGCCATTTATTTTATCTTGAGAGTGAGAACAGCTGTGTTTTTTTTTTGCAGTATGTTTACTTTTTCCTTTTGAATGTCCTGGCTTCCATTCTAAAACTGTGTAAGAACCACAGCAATGGTTTAATAAAGGAATGTAGACAGTTGTCTGTTACATGAGGTGTTTTGTGGTTGTTATGTGGGATGTACACTGACACTGCCATGTTCCCTGTTCCTTTTAACTAGGAAGGCAGAGCGTGAAGTAAAAGCATTGGCAAAACTTGATCATGTAAATATTGTTCACTACCATGGCTGTTGGGATGGACTTGATTATGATCCTGAGATCAGTGCTTATGATCCTGAGAGCTCTGATTTGGATCCTGAGAGCCAAAAAAATAGTTTAAGGTAACTAAAAACAAATTCTCATAGCCATAATAGGATGGAAGGAAATTGTTATTTACTATGTGTGGGCCACTGGATAAGGCCATTAATTATCACAATTAATAATCACAATTCCCTCTGAGAGACACTGTTATCTCTCCGTTCCACAGGTAAGGACAAAGTGAAAATCTCTTTCTTGTTCCTCCTCTTGCTGCACACTTACTCTCATAACCCTTTGTTACATCCTCACCTGTCTTCAAAATCTCAGGTTCAGCTTTCCTGACTCCATTGTTTAATGGAGAGCCTTGTTCACGTGCCAGCTTCAGTGCAGGCTGTAGTGTAGTCTTGTGAAGAGAGTTTTAACATATAGATGCTGCATCTAGGGGCTCCTTCCTCAGCTACCAACACTTTTCTGTCCCTTTCTTAGGCTGTGATTGGTGTGGTGCAGTGAAAGGTTCTCTTTGGAATGTAACTATACCACTTATGCTGGGGGGGTGGGCAGTGAACATATTTTTAAGACCACAAAGTGAGATGGGGGCACCCTCATGTTTCATGTCAGTTAAGCCACTGCCAAACAACTGGAGATCCTAAAGAGCTGGCGTCTGTCTTTGAAAGTCACCCAACCTGTTATGGGAACAGTCCTCTCACTAAAATCCTGAGGCCAATGGGGTCCTGTTCTTTCATTTTCTCCTGCCCCACCTCCATCTCCATGTCGTGTAACTGAGAACTTTACCGTCAGTTCAGGAGTTATTGACCATCAGCATACAGGACTTTAGTTTTCAGCAAATTCTTGGCTACCTCTTCCTGTTTTCAAGCCAACATATATACAAAGAATATAAATGAATATTGAGGCTAACTTAATTCAGAAAAAAAAAAAAAAGAACATGGTTAGCAAAAAAAAAAAGAGAAAGAAATCAATCCTCCAATTTATATCTCTTAGTAATTTGTTGGCACTTCTCCTAGAGTAGTACCTTTCCTATTGTTTTAGGTTTGCTTTCTCTTTACTCTGTCCTATTAAACTATTATCCCCATGATGGCAAGGATAGTGTCTAACTCATTTTCTCATCTCTAGGTGCTTTTCATGATCAGTAGATGGAGGGTGAATTAAAAGGTTTCAAAATTACTTTATATAATAATGAAATTTAGTTTCCTGCAACTCTATTGTATTCGTGTTCCTATTTCTATCTGTTAGCAAAGGTGATTGCAGATCTTCAGCAATAAAGAATGGGTGGCTCGAATGCAGTGGCGAAATCTTGGTTCACTGCAAGCTCCGCCTCCTGGGTTCACGCCATTCTCCTGCCTCAGCCTCCCGAGTAGCTGGGACTACAGGTGCCCGCCACCACACCCGGCTAATTTTTTGTATTTTTTAGTAGAGACGGGGTTTCACCGTGTTAACCAGGATGGTCTCGATCTCCTGACCTCATGATCCACCAGCCTCGGCCTCCCAAAGTGCTGGGATTACAGGCATGAACCACTGTGCCCGGCATCTTCTTTTTTCTTTTTGAGACAGAGTCTTACTCTGTCGCTCATGCCAGAGCTCAATGGCGCGATCTCAGCTCACTGCAACCTCTGCCTTCTGGGTTCAAATGACTCTTGTGCCTCATCCTCCTGAGTAGCTGAGACTACAGGTGCCATGCCACCACACCCAGCTAATTTTTGTATTTTTAGTAGAGATGGGGTTTTGCCCTGCTTCCCAGGCTGATCTCAAACTCCTGAGCTCAAGCAATCCACCAGTCTCGGCCTCCCAAAGTGCTAGGATTATAGGTGTGAGCCACCGTGCCCGGCCCGGCTCATATTTTATAAATTAGCTAAACAAATAAAGCTCTGGACATCTGGGAACTTATGATTGAAATAAGAAATGGCCTATTATATTTTGATTCAAATTTGTTTATTGTATTTAGGTTTCTATTTTGAGACATGTTTTGGGGTTCTTAAGATAAGGTATAAGCTTTTAAAAAGTTATGTATTTTTTATAAATTTATATTTATTGTTACCTTTAACATACTAGGAATTTTATACCCAGATCAAAGACTAAGTGCCTTTTCATCCAAATGGAATTCTGTGAAGAAGGGACATTGGAGAAATGGCTTGAAGATAGAAGAGGCAAGAAACTAGACAAAGTTTTGGCTTTGGAACTCTTTGAACAAATAACAAAAGGGTTGGATTATATACATTCAAAAAATATAATTCATAGAGATCTTAAGGTAAGTGGGAAAATGTACTTTATTAATTGATACATATATATATATATATAAAATTTAGTAATTTTAAAATATATCTTCTCAGCAGGGCACAGTGACTCACGCCTGTAATCCCAGCACTTTGGGAGGCTGAGGCAGGCAGATTACCTGAGGTCATGAGTTTGAAACCAGCCTAGCCAACATGGTGAAACTCTGTCTCTACTAAAAATACAAAAATTAGCTGGGCATGATGGTGTGCACCTGTAATCCCAGCTACTCGGGAGGCTGAGGCAGGAGAATCACTTGAACCTGGGAGGGGAGGTTGCAGTGAGCCAAGATTGCTCCACCGCACTCCAGCCTAAGTGAAGAGTAAGACTTGTCTCAAAAAACAAACAAACAAACAAAATAAATAAATAAATAAATATGTGTGTGTGTGTATACACACACATATATATATACACACACACACATATATACACACACATATATATATATACACACACACACACATAAAATAAGATAGATATATTTTTTCTCTAGTTTTAGAATAGTGGTTGATTGGTAGTTACGAGAAAATGATATCTGAACATTTCCATGCAAATGATTACTGTGACTGGCACAGCCAACTGACTGCTCTGTCCCTGCTCCTCCTGCCTCCTCTAAGTGACTCAGGCTTATTCGAGAGGCAGAGGGGACTCTGCTGACTGTGGCTTTAGGACTATGATTCCCTAATCTCTCAGTCATTACTCTTGAGGGCTGTCACAGCTACTGGGTCCAGAGTCTAATATTGTCTTGGTTAAACATTTCGACCCCATGATTGGAAAGTTGCAGTAATCCCAGACTGGGAAAGTGTATCATCCCTTAGTATTTTCATTTTCCTCTGGCTTTTATGGTCTGGACAAGGAGTTTCCCTATTTTTACTTCTCATCAGAATGACAGAAGGTAAGAGGCAGAGCAGCCCTTCACAGCCTTTCTTCCATTCCCTATTCCCTGTGACTTGCCTAGCCTGTCACAAGCTGGCCATCCTGAATCCTGTCCCTGGACCTTTGCTCATGCTCTTCTCTCTTATGGAATATACACTTCTGCCTGTCCCCTTTGCTTGTAATTCCTTTACTGAGCCTTTCCACTCTGGAACTGCCTTTTCCTGTTCTAGGCAGAAGTACCTCATTTATGTGACTAACTGCTTACCCCACCCCTCTAAAACAGCCAGGAATAAGGAATGAAACAAAAAATTCCTTGAGAGAAATAAGTGCCCATATATACAGTTGTTATTGGGCTCAGATAGGAATGAGTAGTCCTTAAAAGGTATTACTTCCGTGGTCTGCCCAGGGGCTGGATGTCTGATGCATTGGTGTTTTGAGTCTGCCTGGTTCCAGTATGTCTATTCTACAATACCTGAAGTTATTATTTGAAGTTGGAGCATTGTCAGGACTATTTAAAAAGGATAAATGTAGAGTTGGTCATGCTTTCACTTTGGGATAAATCATACATATAGTTAAATAACAAATAAGCACAATTATTTCTATATACAATAATTTGCAAATAAATGCAGAAGTGTAGGCATTAAGTTCCTCGTCCTCAGAATGAATTAGCAAAATTCTGACTGGCGCCTACCCACTTACCTACCAATTATGCCCTGCACTGTATGTACCCTGTGTCATGGACTGATCTTTTCTTGTGTATATTTGCAGAGAATTTTTGCTCTTGCTGCGGTTGCTCAAGGGTCAGACTTTATTATTATTCTTAAATTTTTAATTTTTTTTTTTTTTTTTTTTTTTGAGACAAGGTCTTGCTCTTTTGCCCAGGCTAGAGTGCAGTGGCACGATCACAGCTCGTTATAGCCTTGACCTCCTGGGCTCAAACAGTCCTCCCACCTCAACCTCCTGAGTAGCTGGGACCACAAGTGTGCACCACCACACCTGGCTAATTTTTTTGTGTTTTTGTAGAGACAGGGTCTCACCATGTTGCCGAGGCCAGTCTCAAACTTTTAGACTCAAAGCGATCGTCCTGCCTCAGCCTCCGAAAGTGCTGGCTTTCCAGGTGTGCTCCACTGCACCCAGCCTGAAGCTTTGATATTGAGACTTCTTTCATCTTCTATAACTTTTCTAGCTCTCACTACTACAGTTGTTGATTTATCTCCTTTAAGAAAAGATACAATGAAGATGTACACCTTTTGGGTTATTCTTTGCAAAACAGTAGCTGTAGGTAGTTTTGCCAGGAAATGGTCTTTACCCAATGCGGCCCCTCTTACAAAAGTCTCCAAGTGTTTAACCACTTTCTGTTGGAATCTTAGGAACTAGACCAAAGGCACTGAGAAGGGACATAGGGGTTTCTGGAGTGAGGACTTCTTATCCAAGGCTGCTTCTCTCTAAAATGTTCAGTCTCCTAAAGCCCAGGCTCTGGTCATCTTCAGCCTGAGCATCAGCCTGTTCCTGTGCCTCCTATGTGAAGTTTGTACCCCTTTTTATGCTCTACAACCCTATATTTTGTCTAGTCATATTATAACTGATTAGACAAAATGTGACATTATTGTTTTTATTTATTTTGTTTTTTGTTTTTTTGAGACAAGGTCTCGCTCTGTTTGTTGCCTAGGCAGGAGTGCAGTTGCATGATCTCAGCTCGCTGCAGCCTCAACCTCCTAGGCTCAAGCAATCCTCCAACCTCAGCCCCCCACATAGCTGGGACTACAGGCACAGGCTACCAAGCCGGGCTATTTTTTGATATTTTGTAGAGACAGGATTTCGCCATGTTGCCCAGGCAAGTCTTGAACTCCTGAGCTCAAGTGATCTGCCAACCTTGGCCTCCCAAAATGTTGGGATTGTAGACATGAGTGGCAGTGGAGTGATCTCAGCTCACTGCAACTTCTGTCTCCCGGGTTCAAGCAATTCTCCTGCCTCAGCCTCCCAAGTAGCTGGGATTCCAGGCCACCACACCTGGCTAAGTTTTTGTATTTTTAGTAGAGACAGGGTTTCACCATGTTGGCAAGGTTGGCCTTGAACTTCGGGGCTCATGCGATCTGCCCGCTTCAGCCTCCCAAAGTGCTGGGATTACAAGCATGAGTCACTTCGCCTGGCCCACTTTTTCTTTTTAATGAACTATAAAAAGTGATCTGATATTTTTACTAGATAGCCTCATCCAGCTTAGATATTTACATGGCTTCATACATTCAATTTTCTCTTTCTTAGAGTCAGGTGATAGCCTTATGTGGGACTAGCAGTTCCACTTGCAATCCCAGCATATTCTTACACTGCAACTTGAACATAGCATAGGAATATTTTCTCTCCACATCCACCTCACATCTGTCTACAGCTTTCCATCTGTATTATTGGTGTTAGGCTCCAATCAGACTGTTAATTGAATTCTAATCCAACTGCTAATTGCTGCATGAGCCATCATCTCAGGCTGGCTTCTCAGAAGCTCCTCCTTCAGCCTTCCCTGGGCTTGTGGTCTCTTCCCTCTCAGGTACTTACTAGGTAGACCCTCTCATAAGTGCATTATCCCATAGAGTCTGTGCGTATAGCCTAACATTGTACTAAAAGTCCAGCCTTTTCAAAAATAGCAAAATATTGATTTTCTCATCAACTACCTTCCTGTTTTTATGGTCTTTAGAATATTGGTCAGTATACTGGGTGTGGTGGCCTGTGGTCCCAGCTACTTGGGAGGCTGAGGTGGGAGGATCGCTTGAGCCGAGGAAGTTGAGGCTGCAGTGAGCCATGATCATGCCACTGCAATCCATCCTGGATGACAAAATGAGACCCCATCTCAAAAACAAACAAAAAGAATATTGGTCAGTACCTCCTATGACCTGGGCATGGTGGCTCATGCCTGTAATTTTAGTACTTTGGGAGGCCGAGGTGAGCAGATCACTTGAGGTCAGGAGTTTGAGACCAGCCTGGCCAACATGGCAAAAACCCATCTCTACTAAAAATACAAAAAAATTAGCCAAGCATTGTGGCACATGCCTGTAATCCCAACTCCTCGAGAGGCTGAGGCGGGAGAACTGCTTGCACCCAGGAAGCAGAGGTTGTGGTGAGCCGAGATCATGCCGCTGCACTCCAGCCTGGGCAACAGAGTGAGACTCCATCTTACAAAACCAAACAAAACCCCTCCTGTAAAGCCGTGGAGTCAGAATGACCACTTCTATTCTGTTCTTCCTTTAAAAAACAAAAAATCTGCTTAAAGAATTGCATGGATAAAAATATTTCAGAGCTAGTTATTAGCTTCCAATAAACTTGGTATGCCTTCACGGTGGAAGGGATATGTTTGTTAAGAAGTTGTCAGAGGCTTGGAGAAAAGACCCCCAGAAGAAATTCTGCACAGGTTAATTCTGCAGTATTGTTGGGAATAGAACCATTCCGAGAATCTCAAAGTTGGAAGGGGTCTTAAGGATGTCTACTTCAGTCCCTATCAGATCGTGGACTCATATTTGCAACATTTCCTCTAGTGGTTGTTCAGCCCTATCTTGGGATGGGGAACTGTCTAACTCCCATTCTTTGGACAACACTATTAGGATATTAGGATATTTTAAAGCTAATCTTTAGGTTATTTCCACCCTATAGTCCTGGATCTTTTCCCTTGGACCATGCAGAGTGAATCCACCTTTCTATGTATAATGAAGACATGTGGTAATAGTATGTCAAGTTGGTACATGTAAGTTAAATTTTTTTTTTTTTCATAGCCAAGTAATATATTCTTAGTAGATACAAACCAAATAAAGATTGGAGACTTTGGACTTGCAACATCTCTGAAAAATGATGTAAAGCGAACAAGGAATACGGGAACTTTGCGATACATGAGCCCAGAACAGGTAAGTCTCTTTCCTGTCTCTCTATATTTTACTTATTTTATTTTAAAAATTATAAAAAGAGTAGACACTTCTTATATAATTAAAACAGTCCAGAAGTATATACTGAAAATTTCCCTTACCATTCTCTTCCACCCTTATCCTTCTCATCAGTTTATTCTTTATCCTTTTAGATAATTTTTTGAGTTATAAAAACATACAAACACAAATATACACCCAGACTTCTTTTTTACATAAACATTTATGTGCATACATTTTTTCAAGGACTTATTTTGTTATTTTGTGACTATATAGCATAATCTCTCCATATTAGTTCAAATAGATCTGCCACATTCTTTTCTTAGCAACTGTATTGTATTTCAAAATATAGAGATACCATAATTTAACTCTTTTTAAAATTTAATCGTATTTTTTTGTTCTTATTTTGTTTTAGAGACAAGGTCTTGCTCTGTCACCCAGGCTGGAGTGCAGTGGTATGATCATTGCTCACTGTAGTCTCAAAATCCTGGGCTCAAGCAATCTTCCCACCTCAGCCTCCTGAGTAGCTAGGACTAGAGGTGCATACCACTGTGCCCAGCTAATTATTTTTATTTTAATTTTTATTATTTATTTATTGTAGTGACAAGGTATCACTGTGTTTCTCAGATTGTATTTCACTATCATCGAAGGGTATTTATTTAGGTTGTTTACAACTTCATAAACTTATAGACATTCCTCCTTATTTTGGATCCCAAGAACAAATAATTCTATGATAATCTGTGATAGATTTCTTGAGGTAAAGTGATTGAATAGATTGACAACTGCATTTCAAACTTAATTGCTGTTTAATTGTCATTCCAAAAATAGTGATTCTATTAATACTCTCCCCTCAAAATGTATGAGATTGCTGCATCATCATACTCTCCAGTGGTCAGTTTTGGGCAGTATGTTGAATTAGGAGTATCTTGCTCTTTTAGTTTGTATTTTCCAAATTTTTAGTAAGGTATGCCCTCTTTTTGTATATTTACTTATATATTTTCTGCAAATTCTCTACTCCTATCCTTTCCCAATTTCTCATAATTGAGTTCTCTTTTTCTCATGTATCGGTAAGGAATCTTGATATATATTGGGTGTTGATTCCTTACCTGTTAACTATATTATAGAATTTTTCTCCTTGATTGTTACTTCTTGTTTATAACGCCATTTTTTTTTTTTTTTTTTTTGAGACGGAGTTTTGCTCTATGATGTCACCAAGGCTGGAGTGCAATGGCATGATCTCAGCTCACGGCAACTTCTGCCTTCCGGGTTCAAGCAATTCTCCTGCCTCAGTCTCCCAAGTAGCTTGAATTATAGGCACCCACCACCATGCCCAGCTAAGTTTTGTATTTTTAGTGAAAACGGGTTTCACTATGCTGGCCAGGCTGGTCTCGAACTCCTGACCTCAGGTGATCCACCTGCCTCGGCCTCCCAAAGTGCTGGGATTACAGACATGAGCCACCAAACCCGGCACTGCAGCTTTTAAATTGTCATATTTATCAATACTTTCTTTACTGCTGTAAGGTTTCTCATTTTTATTTTGGAGGCTTCTACTACAAGATTATGAAAATATTTTTTGGTTTTACTAACATAAAAATTAACTGCAATTTGAATTAACTTTTGTGTATGTATGAGAAAGGAATATAACTTGATTTTCCCCCTGTGAATATACTGTTGCTTCATCACTATGTGTTAAGTAGTTCATTATTTAAATGCTATTTTAAGGAAAATTTATAGAGACAGAAAGTGGAACAGAGGTTATCTGGAGGAAGGGAAGAATGGGAACTTCTTGTTTAATGAGTATAACTTCTGTTTGGGATGATGAAAAGCTCTGGAAATAGATAGTGGTGATGGTTATACAACATTGTGAAGGTAGTTAATGCCACTGAATTGTAAGCATAAAAATGGTTAAAAGGGTGAATTTTATGTTATGTCTATTTTACCACAATATTATTTTATGATATATAAAATTCCCACACATTCAGAGATGTGTTTCTGGACTTTGTTCTGTTTCACTGATTTATTTTTTATTTCTCTTTTTAATATTATGCTATTTAGATTATTATAGCATTATAAACTAGGCTTTAGTATTCAAACAGCAGGACCTGCCACATTATTCTTCAATTTAAAAATGCTCTTAGCTGTTCACATTTACAATTCCAAATGAACTCTTGAATCACCTTGTCATCTTCCGTAACTGGTTTTGAGGTTTTGATAGCAATTGCATCAGATTTGAGGATTCAGGTGAGGAACATTGATATCCTTATATATTTGAGACTTCTCCAAAATTGGTATTTTTCCCTCACTTATTCAAGTCATCCATCAGTCAGCTTTTGCCAGACTATGCTGTGGTAACAAATGACCCCAGTTTCTTAGTGGGGCAGAAAATACCAAGGGTCTATTTCTTGCTCACATGACAAGTCGGCAGCAGTCTGTCTGGCTGCAGTTTTGCTCTGCGTGTCTCCTTCATTCCAAGATCCAGGCTGAAAGAAAAATGCTATCTGAGTCACTGCCATCCTCAAGGCAGAAGGCAATGGCAGAACCTTGTGATGGCTTTCACATGTTCTGCTCAGCGGTGTCATACATCACTAAACATCATTACCGAGAGCAAAAAGCATGGCCCAGCTCAAGGCAATGAGGGTGGGGAAGAGTAATCCTCTCACTAGGAGGCCAGCACAGAATTGGGGGCAATCATACAGCCTACCTCAAAGCCACTTTTATACTCTTCAAGATATATATATATATAATTTATTATGCTACATATATGCTCTCTCTCTCTCTCCTCTCTCTCTCTCTCTCTCTATATATATATATATATGTATTTTTTTTTTTGTAGACAGGGTCTTGCTTTTCGCCCAGGCTGGAGTGCAGTGGCACCATCGTTGCTCACTGCTGCGCAGCCTCAACCTCCCTGGCTCAGGTGATCCTCCTGCCTTAGCCCCCTCAGTAGCCAGGACTACAGGCGCAAACCACCAACACCTGGCTCATTTTTTGGGGTATATTTTGTAGAGACTGGGTTTCACCATGTTGCCTAGGCTGGTCTTGAACTCCTGGGCTTAAGTGATCCACCTGCCTTCGCCTCCCAAAGTGCTAGGATTACAGGAATGAGCCACGGCGCCTGGGCATATTGTTTATATTTTTGAAGCTTTCTCCAGAGTCTGTATTGCATTTTGCTATTAAAATGAGATCCCACGCTTGAATCCGGGAAGTGGAAGTTGCAGTGAGCCAAGATCGCGCCACTGCACTGCAGCCTGGGCAACAAGAATGAGACTCCATCTGAAAAAAAAAAAAGAAAAGAAATTCCATATCTCTAATTTGTTATTAGTGTAGCTGTTAATTTTAAAAATATGTATCTTGATTTTTAATTGTGGTAAAATACACAAATATAAAATTTACCGCCTTCACCATCTTTAAGTGTATGGTTTAGTGGCATTAAATGTGTTCACAGTGTTGTGCTTTCATCATCACCATACATCCACAGATTACTTTTCATTTTGCAAAACTGAAACTTTACACCCATTAAAGAACCCTATTCTCCCCTCCCTACAGCCCAATCAACTACCATTCTACTTTCTGTCTGTATATTTGACTGCTCTAGGTGCCTCATATAAGTGTAATCATACAGTATTTACCCTTTTGTTACTGGCTTCTTTTACTCAGCATAATATCCTCAAGATTTATCCATGTTGTAGCATGTCAGAATTTCTTCTTAAGGCTGACTAATTAATTCCATTGTTGTGTACACCACATTTTGTTTATCCATTTATCCATCAATGGACACTTAGGTCGCTTCTACCTTTGGACTGTGGTGAATAATGCTGCTGATGAACATGGGTGTACAGCTGTTGATTTTTAAATATTTGTCTTATGTATAGTCTCATTATTTGAATGTGGTTTTTTGGGGGGTTGATTGCTTTTATGTTTCACCTTTTGGGCTGTTTATTCTATTTTAATTTCTAATTCATAAATGCCCATTAAAGACTATTTTGCTGACAATACAGCTTTCAAAATACCTCTACTATTTTGTCATCCAAGAATAAATATACTGAGCTATCTGATGGTTTGAGAGTCTAGAATGGAGAAGGCACACACTTTTTCCTTTTGGGGGGCCACTTGGCCTAAAAAGTATAGAACACTAAAGAGAGCCAACGGCTCTCTTTAACCTCCCACTGCTTTCAGTTATCTCCTGCATCCTGTATTGCTGCCCTCACACTATTTGGTTAAAAACATTCATCATTTTACTTTACTTTTTATTTTGTGTGTGTGTGTTTTTTTCTATTTAAAAACCTTTTGTTGGCTGGGTGCAGTGGCACACGCCTGTAATCCCAACACTTTGGGAGGCTGAGGTGGGCGGATCACCTCAGATCAGGAGTTCGAGACCAGCCTGTCCAACATGTTGAAACTCCATCTCCACTTAAAAAAAAATACAAAAATACAAAAATGAGCCAGGTGTGGTGGCATGTGCCTGGAGTGCCAACTACGCTGGAGGCTGAGGCAGGATAATTGCTTGAACCTGGGAGGCAGGGGCTGCTGTGAGCTGAGATCATGCCACTGCATTCCAGCCTGGGTGACAGCAAGACTCCGTCTCAAAAAAAAAAAAAAAAAGCAACATTTTGTTGAGGAACAATTTATACACCATAAAATGCACAGATCTTAACTGTATATTTTTCCATTTTGACAAATGCATACACCTGTGTAACTATAAGCCTGTAAAGATATAGAACATTATGCTCTTTCAAGCTCCTTTCCAGTCAATGCCTCCTCCCCACTGATCAGAAGCAACTAGTGCTCTGAGTTGTATCCCCATAGTTTAGTTCTTCCTGTTTTTAACCTTCATATGAATGGAATCAGACAGTAGGTACTCTGTTGTATTTAATTTCTTCATTCAAAATAATATCTTCTGGAAAAACTTTATTTGTTGCTCATACCAGCAGAGAATTCATTTTTATTGCTGAGTCGCAGTCCATTGTATGAATATGCCACAATATGTTTATCCATTCTTCTGTTGTGGTCCTTTGAGTTGTTTCTAGTTATGGAATATTGTGAATAAATACGCTATGAACAGCTGCAGTGCAAGTCACCTACGGGGTGCTATTTTAACTGCTTTATCTGCTGCATCTCATTTACCCTCGCAATTAAACTCTGTGGTTGATACTGTTGTTATCCTGATTTTATAACTGAGATTATTCCCATGTTAACCATTAATTTACACAGACGATTCAGCTATTCGGCGGGACAGATTTGAACCTAGGCAGTCAGACTCCACAGATCTTGCTAATAAATAGACGTTGTGTGATGTAAGATGTTTTGGTCAAATAACGTTTTTGGGCTTTAGAAGGCTGGAAATTTATGTAAGGAGTGTAACAAAGGTAAATCTATTTTGGTCTCTTTAGATTTCTTCACAAGACTATGGAAAGGAAGTGGACCTCTACGCTTTGGGGCTAATTCTTGCTGAACTTCTTTATGTATGTGACACTGCTTCCGAAACATCAAAGGTAAAATGATCTCAAAGAAAGAATTAAATAAGAAAAATTATTGACTACTACCTTCAGAGTGCTGCTGCAGACAGTTCTTGCTCTCACGTGAGGATGGGCTTGAGTATATTAGTATCTGACTGCAAATGAAATATGAATTTTCTGTCTTTCAAGGTTTGGCAAAGACCAAACACTTTGTTAAAAACCAGAAACTTTGATCTTCCCTGGAAGGTAGTACATCTCATAAGACTTGTAAGACTTGTCAGTCAGTAAAATTTTATTGATTGACTGCTTTGTGTTAGACACTGTGCTAAGTGCTATAAGGGTTGCAAAATACACAAGCCTTGGCTGGGCACAGTGGCTCACCCCTGTAATCCCAGCTTTGAGAGGCCAAGGCGGGCAGATCACTTGAAGTCAGATGTTTGAGACAAGCCTGGCCAACGTGGTGAAATCCCATCTCTACTAAAAAATACAAAAATTAGCTGGGTGTGGTGGCACACACCTGTAATCCCAACTACTCAGGGGGCTGAGGCAGGAGAATCGCTTGAACCCGGGAGGTGGAGGTTGCAGTGAGCCAAGATCACACCACTGCACTCCAGCCTGGGTGACAGAGTGACATTCCATCTCTAAATAAATAAATAAATAAAGCCTTGTTCTCAAGGAGCTTATTTTCTAAAAGGGAAGATAATATAAGAGAATGCCGTAAGCATTTTAGGAGAAGGCATGAAGTCTGTGGAAGCAGCTGGGAGGGAGATCTTTCCAGCTGTAAGGACTTAGGTTTCATGGAGACATCTAAGCTGGGCTCTGAAGGATCTGTTGGCTTCTCATAGTCCAAAACAGAAAGGGTGATTCTAGCATGGAGGTGGGAATGTGTGGAGTGTATCTGGGGACAGCAGGCAGTGTAAGTTGTATTGGAATATATAAGTTACAAGGAAGTAGTAGCTGGTGAGACTAGAAAGATAGGTTGGGCTAACTTAAGGAAAAAATGTGGACTTTCTTGCTTAGGCAGTGGGGAGTCACTAAAGGCAGTAGGCAACTAGATATCCTACTCTTTTTTTTTTTTTTTTTTTGATAGAGTTTCACTTTTGTCGCCCAGGCTAGAATGCAATGGCACGATCTCGGCTCACTGTAACTTCTGCCTCCAAGGTTCAAGCAATTCTCCTGCCTCAGCCTCCCGGGTAACTGGGACTAAAGGCATGCACCACCATGCCTGGTTAATTTTCTTGTATTTAGTAGAGATGGGGTTTCACCATGTTGGTCAGGCTGTTCTCAAACTCCTAACCTCAAGTGATCCACCCACCTCGGCATCCCCAAGTGTTGGGATTACAGACGTGAGCCACTGCACCCAGCTGTATATCCTACTCTTAAGCTCAGGAAAGGGAACCTTCCTGGAGTCAATAACCTTATCCTCTGTGAAACAGTTAGAAGTACCTATCACTTAGGGCTCCAAAACGCATGAAGGTAGATGGTGAAGATGATGCACTTAACACTTCACGTCATAATGCAAGGATGGTTATTAGAGTGGGGGTAGGGTAGGAGACAGGGAATCCTGCTTGCTTCTTGTCTAGAGACTTTCCCAAAAATCTGGAAATATCCTACATTTCAGGTGTCCTCAGCCTTTAGTTCTGTTTGTTTTTCCTAATATATACCTATCTTTTTTTTTTTTTTTTCAGCTTTTTCAAGACCTACGAGATGGCATCATCTCAGATGTGTTTGATAAAAGAGAAGTAAGCACTTGAAAATCATCAGAATTTTATTTATTTCAGTGTTTTATTTCTTACTGTTGACTCTCACTGTCATTGCAGAAAACTCTTCTAGAGAAATTACTCTCAAAGAGACCTGAGGACCGACCTAACACATCTGAAATACTAAGCACCTTGACTATGTGGAAGAAAAGCCCAGAGAAAAAACGACATACATGTTAGAGCCCTTCTGAAAAAGTATCCTGCTTCTGATATGCAATTTTCCTTAGATTATCTAAAATCTGCTAGGGAATATCAATAGATATTTACCTTTTAATGTTTCCTTTAATTTTTTTTACTATTTTTACTAATCTTTCTGCAGAAACAGAAAGGTTTTCTTCTTTTTGCTTCAAAAATATTCTTACATTTTACTTTTTCCTGGCTCATCTCTTCATTCTTTTTTTTTTTTTTTTTAAAGACAGAGTCTCGCTCTGTTGCCCAGGCTGGAATGCAATGATCCAATCTCGGCTCACTGCAACTTCTGCCTCTTGGGTTCAAGTGATTGCCTCAGCCTCCTGAGTAGCTGGATTACAGGCATGTGCCACCCACCCAACTAATTTTTATATTTTTAATAGAGACAGGGTTTCACCATGTTGGCCAGGCTGGTCTCAAACTCCTGACCTCAAGTAATCCACCTGCCTCAGCCTCCCAAAGTGCTGGGATTACAGGCATGAGCCACCGCGCCCAGCCTCATCTCTTTGTTCTAAAGATGGAAAAAACGCCCCCAAATTTTCTTTTTATGCTATTAATGAATCAATCAACTCATACCTATTTATTAAATTTCTACTGCTTTTAGGCCAGAAAAAATAAGATCGTTCTCTGCCTCACATAGCTTACAAGCCAGTCAGAGAAATATGGTACTCATAAACAAAAACAAAAAAAAGTGATGTACAACCACTTTGGAAAACAATTTGGCATTATCTAGTAAAGTTGAATCCATGTATACCCACAAAACTGTCAATTCTATTCCTACATACATGCTTATAAGAATGTCCATAAAACCCTGTTTATAATAGCCAAAAGAACAGGGAACAACCATAATGCCCATCAAAAGAAGAATGGATTAAAAAATTTATATTCACACACAGGAGTACTATATAGTATTGAAAACAATTGAATTACAGCTAAATGTAAAAATGTAACACAATACAACTCTCGGGAACATAATGTTAAGCGAACAAAGCAGGTTTTCAGAAAATATATGCAGAATAATTCCGTTTATATAACGTTCTAGAGCATGCAAAACTAAATCATTTTCTATACGAAACCCAGCAAATGTGATGAGACAACAATGGGAAGGAAGGGAATGAGAAATACTTAATTCTGGATGGTGGTTGTCTTTCAGGGCGGGGAATTATGTGATTGGGGAAATGGACTTTCAAAGGTAATGGTAACTTCCTTAAACTGGATGGTAGGTCCACTAGTGTTTGCTGCATAGTTATACATTTTATCTTAAATACATTTTGTATCTATTTTATCAACCGCTTTAAAGACAACTGTGCTGTAAGGCAGTGGCTAAAAACAGAAAATAGTCCATCGCGAAGGGTGAGATGGCTTTCTACTGAGCACAGGGCTAGAAGTGACAGCCCAGTGGGCCTTCCAAGTATATGCCAAGGTGTTAGATGAGTAGAGAGGAGACCACCCAGGAAGTCTGGACAAGGGGCCTGGCATGAGCTCTGGAGAAGAGATATTTGAGGAACACTGGGTATGCTAGTTTGTTGTCCTGAATTGCTGTAGAGAATGCTGAAAGATAATTTAAATTGCATCTTAGAAGACCCTGAAGGTTAATTTGAACTTAGGGCAGTTGTTTTAGTTTGTTTTCTTATTGCCATAAATGGATACTTGAGGCTGGATAATTTATAAGGAAAAGAGATTTCTATGACTTACGGTTCTGCAGGCTGTACGAGAAGCATGGCACCAGCATCTGCTTCTGCTCAGGCTGCTTCCACTCATGGAGGAAGGTGAAGGACAGCAGATGTGCAGAGATCATATAGCAAGAGAGGCAGCAAGAGAGTGAGGGAGAAGGGCCAGGCTCTTTTTTAACAACCAGCTCTTGAGGGAACTAATAGATTGAGAACTCCTTGCTTCCCCTCCCCAGCACACCCCACCCCCAGGACGGCATTAATCTATTAATGAGGGATCTTCCCCCATGACCCAAACACTTCCCATCAGACCCCACCTCCAACATTGGGATCAAATTTCGACATGAGATTTTGGGGGACAAACATCTAAACTATAGCAGCAACCAACTACCATTCTAAAACTGCCATGTGAGTTTAGGATTTTAAAAAAGGGCCACATTTAGGTTAAACAAAAAGTGAAAATACAGTAAGAGAAAATACTTTCATAAAGGCTTTAAAAAGTGTTCATAAAAAGCAGTTCCTACATTTTTCACGTAAGGTTCATCAATAGATGCTAAAACTATTGGATGAAAATCTGTTGTGGAATAGGAATCTTCACAAGGATTTAAATATAATCCTACAGAAGATGTATCAGTTATACAGGGGAAAATGTACCTTTACAGTGGTCACCACAATAACCAAGTGATTCAATTTAGCAGCACCCAAGGTGGAACACCCTAACATTATGCCCCTCCTGATGTGATTTAAGAATTTTACTTATTTAGTTTTCTTGCACAAAGTGTTAAACTGGAATTTAAGCATGAGGAAATTATTAGACAAATCCTGAATGTAGTCATTCTATAAGATGATTGACTTGGGCTTCTCAAAAAGTCAGTGTCATGAACAAAAAAAAAAAAAGAGAGAGAGAGACTTGTAAGATCTAATGACCAAATGCAATCAATGCTTGAATCTTCATTGTATCCTGGATATTCAAAGAGACAAAAGCTGGACACAGTAGCTCATGCCCGTTATCCCAGCATTTTGGGAAGTCAAAAATGGGAGGATGGCTTGAGCACAGGATTTCGAGACTAGCCTGGGCAACACAGTGAGTTCTCATCTCTACAAAAAATCAGAAAAAATTAGCTGGGCATGGTAGCATGCATCTGTGGTCCCAGTTACTTGGGAGGGTGAGGTGGGAGGATCACGTGAGCCTAGGAGGTCAAGGCTGCAGTGAGCCATGATCATGCCACTGCATTGCAGCCTGGGTGACAGAGTGAGAGCCTATCTAAATAATAATTTTTAAAAATACAAAGAAAACAACAGCCCAGCAAACAGCTATAAAGATATCTTTGGGATAATTGAGAACATTTGAATATAGACTGCGTATTAGTTAACAATGCCAAATAACTGTTTTCTCAGGTGTGATAATAGTATATGCAGAAAATGTTTTGTTTTGTTTGTTTGTTTGTTTCGAGACAGAGTCTCACTCTGTCGCCCAGGCTAGAGTGCAGTGGCGCAATCTCGGCTCACTACAACCTCTGCCTCCCAGGTTCAAGTGATTCTCCTGCCTCTGCTTCCTGAGTTGCTGGGATTACAGGCACCTGCCACCACTTCAGGTTAATTTTTTTCTATTTTTAGTAGAGACGGAATTTCACCATGTTGACCCAGCTGGTTTTGAACTCCTGACCTCAGGTGATTCACTTGCCTTGGCCTCCCAAAGTGCTGGGATTACAGGCATGAGTCACCGTGCCTTTCCAAAAGTGTTTATTTTTAGGCACTGCATGCACAAATATTTAGAGGCCAAGTGTGTCATGATGTCTGCAACTTTCAATGTTCAGCAAAAGTCAACATGGAGAGAGAAAGAGGACACACATGTGGCAAAATATTAGCCATTGAACAATTGGTAAATCTAGATGACAGTACACAGGTGTTTTTGTATTATTCTTTGAACTTTTCTGTAGATTTGAAAATGTTCTGCGTAGAGAGAAATCTTTTTTTTTTTTTTTAAATCAGGTTTTAATGAGGCTATATTGAAAAGAAACACTAAATGATGTGGCCAGTTAGTGAGAATGTAGCCTTATCTTTACCTGACCTCATTTTAATATTCCTACTCTGGCTGGGCATGGTGGCTCACGCCTGTAATCCCAGCACTCTGGGAGGCCGAGATGGGTGGATCACCTGAGGTCAGGAGTTTGAGACCAACCGGGCCAACATGGTGAAACCCCCTCTCTACTAAAAATACAAAAATTAGCTGGGTGTGGTGGCGAGTGCCTGTAATCCCAGCTACTCGGGAGGCTGTGGCAGGAGAATTGCTTGAACCCAGGAGGCGGAGGTTGCAGTGAGCCAAGATCGCGCCACTGCACTCCAGCCTGGGTGACAAGAGTGAAACTCAGCCTCAAAAAAAAAAAAAAAAAAAAAGATATATATATTCTACTCCTATGAAATGAATATAGCATTTCTTAGCAACTTCTATTTATCTGTGAGTATATATTTTCTTGGCCTCAAAATTAAAGTAAAAAGTATCCTCTTACTCAGAGGAGGACAGGGGCAAGAGCCTGGGACCTTATTTGGTAATTAAAATGCACACATACACAGACACACACACAGAAATTTTGAGAGCCATTTTAATATAATTGCCTTATTAGAAACATACCTTTTAGGGAATGTTTGTCACTAAACCACATATTATTTAAATATGTACATGTTTAACATAAATACATACATAAAATTCACATGCATACTTAACACTTATGTTAAATATATTCACTGTATGTATATATGTACACAATATATGCATATATATGTGTGGATATGTGTGCATGTGTGTGTATGGCCAGCTACATAATTTGTGGGACTAAAGGCAAAATGAAACTGTAGGGCCCTCATTCAAAAATTAGGTGTGGGATGCTTCTAAGCACAGTCTTGTGTAACTGCACAGGTTGCATGTCCATGAAGCCATCCTGTGTGTGTGCATATATGTGTGTGTGAATATATATTTTATATAATATATATGCATGTATGTATCTGAGAAGAAATGTTTAAAAGACTACATATAAGCTCTTCCAGGTCTCTACTATCTGTTAACTAACTAGAGACATAACTCACAACATCCATTGCCCACTGAGTGTTCACCATAATTTGAGATTCTTGGCATGTTAACTTTTCATTACGGAATATTGAATAATTTCAGTATGATTCATACTTATTTAAATTTTTTTATGTTCAAACATACACAAAAATAGAATAATGAAACTCTACCCATCACCCAACTTCAACAAATGTCAATACTTTACCTTTCTTAATACATCTAACCCCTTACTTTTTGTTTGTTTCTTTTGGTGAAGTATTTAATAGTAATTTTTTTAAAAAAGAAATAGGATCTCACTCTGTCACCCAGGCTAGAATACAGTGGCATGATCACAGCTCCTTGTAACCTCGAACTCCTAGACTCAAGTGATCCTCCTGCTTCAGAGGCTTAAGTAGCTGGGACTACATGCATACACCACACACCCAACTAATTTTTAAATTTTTTGTGGAGATAGGGTCTTGCCATGTTTCCCAGGCTGGTCTCAAACTCTTGGCCTTGAGCGATGCTCCTGCCTTGGTCTTCCAAACTGCTGGGATTACAGTGTCCGGCCCTACTGGAATATTTTAAAGTAAAGCTCAGGTGTTACATCATTGCACTTGTAAGTACTTTAAAATGTATCTCTAGCAGATAAAGTCTTTTTTAACAAAACCACAGCATCATTGTCACACTCAAAAAATCCACAAGATTTCTTTAATTATCATATAATGGTCTGTATTGTTTCTATCTCAAAAATACAATTTTCTTTGTTGTTGAAATACAGATCCAACATTGCATTTGGTTGATATGTCTCCTTTACTCTGTAACATTTACCCCTGCGTTTTAGTTCTTCCTGGCTTTTATTTGTCCTGTGGAATTTCCTCCATTCAAGATTTGACTGATGGTATCCCCATAGTGTCCAGTTAGACCTAGAAGCTGGATTTGATCCTGGTTCATTTATTTTCTCCCAAGAATACTCCATAGGTGATGCTATATACTTTCTCTTGTATCATTTCAGGAGGAACATGATGTCTGATTGTTCCACTTTCAGTGACTTTAATATTCATCAATGGGTTCTGGTGGTACCACCTACTACAAAGTTTCTCATCAGTCTTTCACCTGATGGTTTTAGCAGCTATTGATGATTGTTGCCTGGATCCATTATTTCATTTCAGGGGTTGTAAAATAGTGATTTTCTGGTTCTGTCAAACCTCTTGCATTTATCAGCTATGGTTCTTTAAGGAACTTTCTCTAAATCTGAATGGGAAAGATGGGATAAATATTTACAATTTTTAGAGTGAGTTAGTGCCCTAGCAACCTCCAAAGTTGACAAATGAGTATTTCTTTTTTTTTTTTTTTTTTTTTGAGACGGAGTCTTACTCTGTCGCCCAGGCTGGAGTGCAGTGGCCGGATCTCAGCTCACTGCAAGCTCCGCCTCCCGGATTCACGCCATTCTCTTGCCTCAGCCTCCCGAGTAGCTGGGACTACAGGCACCCACCACCTCGCCCGGCTAGTTTTCTGTATTTTTTAGTAGAGACGGGGTTTCACCATGTCACAGCCAGGATGGTCTCGTGATCCGCCCGTCTCGGCCTCCCAAAGTGCTGGGATTACAGGCTTGAGCCACCGCGCCCGGCCGAGTATTTCTTTAAATCAAGGTATGGCCCAACCAATACTTTGAAACCAGCATGTTTAGAATGGAGCAGGAAGAAACTACATTTGAAAGGTCAGAAAGTGGAAAGACTAAGAGGGCCTGAACAATAAGAGGACAGAACCAAGAGGAGTTGGCAACTAACTGGATGTGGGGATTAAGGAAAGGTAAGCATCAAAGATTACCTCCAAGTTTGTTAGAAGGTGAGTAGCAGGATTCTGATGCCATTAAAGTAAATATAGGTCTCAGTCAAATGAACCCCAAGTGAAGGGGTGGCCTGCCCCTCCACACCTGTGGGCGTTTCTTGTTAGGTGGAACGAGAGACTCGAGAAAAGAAATGAGACACAAAGTATAGAGAAAGAAAAAGTGGGCCCAGGGGACTGGCACTCAGCATACAGAGGACCCACGCTGGCACCGGTCTCTGAGTTCCGTCAGTATTTATTGATCATTATCTTTACCATCTTAGAAAAGGGAAGTGGCAGGATAATAGGATCATCGTAGGGAGAAGGTCAACAGTAAGACATATGAATAAAGATCTCTGTGACGTAAGTTTAAGGAAAAGTGCTGTGCCTTCATATGCATATGTAAACATCTCTATTAACCTTTTTAGTGCATAAAGAGCAGCATTGCGCTAGCAAGTCCCACCTTCAGCCCTAAGGCGGTTTTCTCCTATCTCAGTAAACAGAACATACTATCGGATTTTACACCAAGATGTTCCACTGCCCAGGGATGGTCAGGAGACAGATGTTTTTCTCTATCTCAACTGCCAAGAGGCCTTCTCTCCTCTTACACTAGTCCTCCTCAGCACAGACCCTTCACGGGTGTCGGGCTGGGGGACGATCAGGTCTTTCCCTTCCCACGAGGCCATATTTCAGACTATCACATGGGAGAAACCTTGGACAATACCTAGCTTTCCTAGGCAGAGGTCCCTGCAACCTTTGGCATTGTACCCGTCCCTGGGTACTTGAGATTAAGAGAATGGTGATGACTTTTCACAAGCATACTGCCTTCAGGCACTTGTTTAACAAAGCATACCCTGCACAGCCCCAAATCCTTTAAACCTTGAGTCACCACAGCACATGTCTCTTGCAAGGAGAAGGTTGGGGGTAGGGTCACAGATTAACAACATCTCAAATACAGAACAAAATGGAGTCTCTTCTGTCTACTTCTTTCTATATAGACACAGTAACAGTCTGATCTTTCTTTTCCCCACACCAAGAGCCACATGTATTTGCGGGGTAATTTATTTGTCTCACGCTTTTACCTGTTAACATGATTTTCAGTAATTTAGAACTTAAGCGAGTAGTGGGGCCACTGTATATCTATCAACATGGTGAGGTAGAGCACGTTTGGGAGGGAAGATGTTGAATCCCATTTGGTGATGGTGAGCTTGAGGTGCTGCCAGAACATTGCACGGAAGATAGGAGGAGACTGTAGAAAATGCAAGACAGGAAAGGTCTCCACTTACATGTTAACTGTTTCTCTCTAAATGGCCCTCCAGGCCTCAATGTCTACAGTTCTTGATCTGTGATTATGACATTTCCAAATCTTACGTTTCTTAAAAATAGTCATAGATGAAGGGATCACGGTTGATAGATGTATGGTGACGTTATTGGCTTAAATTCTAAATCACTAGAAACTCTGTAATAGGCAAAACAGTGAGGCAAATAAAATGCTTCTCAAATAGGTATGGCTCTTACGGGGTTAATTTGATTTGGACATGTATTAATTTCTTATGGCTGCTATAACTAACAAATTACCACAAACTTGGTGGCTTAAAACAACACACATTTATTCTCTTTCTGTTCTGGAGGCCAGAAGTCTAAAATGAGATTCCCTGGGCTGCAGTTCATTGGGCAAGGCCATGCTCCTCTGGAGGCTTCCGTGATGCTTCCCATATTCAGTGTTTCCTGAGGAAGCCCCTCCCATGCAGGTCTGCAGTTTTACCTCAACAGGCTTTTGCACTCAGTGGCTCTCTTCTGTGGTTTCTATCTGAAATTCTCTTCATTTTTCTAAAATAACAGCTTTATTGGGATATAATTCATATGCCATACAATTCACGCATACAGTATACAATTCAGTAGTGTTTACTATATTCAGAGTTGTGCAACCATCACTTTTCTCACCCCCAAAAGAAACCCTATACCCATTAGTATTCACTCCATTTTCTCACAACTCTAGGTAACCACTAATCTACTCTCCATCTCTATAGATTTGCCCATGCTAGACATTTCATATAAATAGAATCATACATGTGGTCTTTTTCACTGAGTATAATGTTTTCAAGGTGCATCCCAGCTGTGGCATGAATCAGCATCTCATTCCTTTTTATTGCCAAATAATATTCTATCATATGGATATGTCACATTTTATGTATCCATTCATCAGCTGATGGACATTTGGGTTGATTCTACTTTTTGGCTACTATGAATAATGCTACTGTGAACTTTTGTGTACAAATCTTATGTGGACATGTTTTCATTTCTCTTGGATGTATATTCCTAGGAGAATGGCTGGATCATATGGTAACTTTTTCCTCATAACTTTGCATATCAAAATTATATCCATCTTTTTAGAACCCAAATTCAGTGTTATTTCCAAAGTGTTCGAACATCTCCCACTCAAAATGAATCTTCTCCCTAGTACTCCCATTGTTTAGTACCTAATTGTTATTACCAGTTTGTCTTAGAGCTCAGTGATTCATACATAGCACTTTTCTTCATTATACTGCTAATTTCATTATACTGTAAGAATGGGGACAAGCTGTCACTCTTGTATACCACAAAGCAGTGAGTGCACTGCTGTGAAGAAAGCAGGAACTCAAAGTTAAGAATTTTGAATGCTTGAGCCTGTAAAATGTGTCTAATTAATAATAATGTTCATTTTCAAATTTCAACAATTAAATGTTTAACAAATAACAATTGAAATAAATGTTAGAAAAACCAATTTGGTATGTTAAAGTATTTATTTTGAATTTCAGAAACTACAGTATTCTGGATTTTTAATGAAGAAAATAAGACATTTTAGAATTTCTAGATAGGACTTTGAAAATAAACATAGCACAATATACACAAAAGTAAATGACAACATGACATTAAATTTTACATTGTTTTGCAGTTTCAAATTTCATATGAATGTTCTATAACAAATTTTAAAATTCTTTTCAATGTTTTGCTTCCCTTGGTGTTCATTATTGCCTATTTATAAAGTCATAAAAGGCCTAAAAATAAGTTTTTACTCATATTGAAAGCCTGATTCTTTTTTTCTCCTTAAGATGGCGGTCTCTCACTGTGTTGCCCAGGCTGGTTTCAAACTCCTAGGCTCAAAGAATTCCCCACCTCAGGCCCCTGAGTAGCTGGGACCAAAGGCTTGCACCACTGCACCTAGCTGAAAGCCTGTACTTTTATCCTTCAATGGACAAGAATGGAGGGATATCTCCCACTCTCTAAGCTGGTCTAGTCCTAGTCGTAGGCCTGTAAATGTAGACCACAATCCTGGTGAAGTCATGGGTTCCATCAGTGTTATTCTGGCATTCGCAGCATAATTGTCATGAACATATTTAAAATATTTTAGGCCACTGAGCAGGTGTGGGTTGTCCTCATAGTCAGTAAGAGGAGAAAGGGAAGCCAGTTCCTGTCTAACTCCATTCCATCTGAAATTATCCATTTGGCTTTGGGATTTGACTGAATGTTGGTATGTTGGCTGAAATGACACCAAAGTATTGACTGTAATTGCAAGGGTAAAATGTACTCCTCTGTTTTATTAATAGCTACTAATAAAATTATATATATATATATATTTTTTGAGACAGAGTCTTGCTCTGTCACCCAGGCTGGAGTGCAGTAGCATGATCTCAGCTCACTGCAACCGCTGCCTCCCAGGTTCAGGCAATTCTCATGCCTCAGCCTTCTGAGTAGCTGGGATTACAGGCGTGCGCCACCACGCCCAGCTAATTTTTGTATTTTTAGTAGAGAGGGGTTTCACCATGTTGGCTAGGTTGGTCTCCAACTCCTGGTTTCAAGTGATCTGCCTGCCTTGGCCTCCTAAAGTGCTGGGATTATAGAAGTGAGCCACTGCACTCAGCCAATTTTATAATTTTTTTAAAACAAAAAAGTAAATATTAAACAACAGCATCCAACCATATAAACTTAAAATATTATATATATATTTACATTCATAAAAATAATTAGTTTTCTGGAGGAAGAACTGAGGCCCAGAAGTTAACTAGATTAGTGGCTCAAGCTAGGCTGCATTTTAGAATCAAGGGCAGTGATGCCCATGTCACAGTGACTAATGGCATCAGAATCTCTTGGGATGGGACCCTTTTATTATTATTTTGTAAAGCTCCCCAAGTTAAGCTTGAAAAGTGAATTAGGTAATATTAAGTCAGAGATTAATACAAGTTGTACTACTGATTATCTTACCCTAGCAAGTGTAGGTTAGTTTTTGCGATCTTCTTATGTATGCTGTTTCTAATAAAAGGGGTTGTTCTCTTGCTCAATCCAACTAAAAGGTGAGCTATAAAATCACACAGGTGATCACAACTCTATCCAAAGAATGGTGGTGCTCCATACTTAACCTCAGCGCTAGTTCTTATCCTCAGGTGCTCATCACTCATTCTTGGGACTTCAAAATAAATACAGATATCCAGAACCACCTGAGACTAGATGAATCAAAATCAATCACTAGGAGAGACGCCTGAGCATATGAACTTTTAAAAAGGTTCAGGATTTTGATGCCTCACCCTGGATGGAGCTCTCTCATAGTATGCCACATGGTATGTTCTTAGCTGTATTCAGTAAAATTACATGGAAGCAGATTTCAGTTTAAGAGAAAACAACGAAAACAATTTAGAGCTACCCAGTAATGGAATGGTTTTAAAGCAGTGAGCTCTCTGTGGCTAGAAGAATAAAGGCAAAGGTTGAACTATCACTTGCTGGGAATGCTATCAAGGGGTTTCCAAATTCAGTAAATACTTGGATCACACGATATTTGAGTTTCCTCACAATTCTTAAGTTTCTCTAGCCAAAACTTCCAACAGATCACATATAATGGATACAGACATTGTCATGAAAACTCATGATTTTACCAGAAATTATCACAGTTATTTTGTTTGTAAAATGGATTAGAATTTAGTAGTACTGATGGAACACTGCCTCTGACATCAGCCTTGTTGAGGGGAATACTTTTCCCCTCCTCTTCATGCTTGGATGGAGGGAAGGGAAATTCTCTTTGCTCTTTCAAAGCAAGAAGTGTAGGAAAAAGTTCTCTGAACCCTCATTCATTCCTTCCCAACAGAGAACTGTCTCATCCCACAGGTGATACAAGAAGGAACTAAGCATGTGTGGTCCAGTCCCTGGTGGTTTCCCTGACCTTGAAAGCTAACTGGTCTCAGAATGCAAAGATGGGCTCTGCCCCAACAAGACAGAGACCTGCTGTTCTCTCCAATCAGGGAGAAATATTAGAGTGTTCAACTGGAGAAAAAGTCAACCTTCTTCTCTATTTCAGTTTATTCACTGATAAAGTGGATATTTTTCTCTTCCTCTGACTCCCATTTCTTATCTCTCAATTTGTTCCAAAGTGAAGAGGGGAATAAGATAATTACCTGTTGGTGTCCTTAAACCCCTCATGTATCACAATACAGCAATAAATTGTAACTGTCCATCTCTATGATACTGGTGTTCTGAAATGCCATTGCATTATTTTTTTCAAGTCAGTGAACACTCATACTCTAAAGTACGAAAAGAACAAAACATTATATAAAGTCCCTCTTTCTTTACTGGCATAAAAAATTTTGGATTTCCAGCTGCTGAATCGTCCATCCCTAGGAAATAATAACACTTTTCGAGTTTCTACTTTTATTGGGGATAATCTTAGTCATGATCTGCAGAAGTTGGTCCTGGACAATTTGAAGATAGGTCTTCTTTATCTGTAAGTTATGTGAGGGAAATGAAAGATTAATACACCTTCTCCAGTAAACTATTCTAGAATATTATTTCAACATAACATGCATTTTTTGATCTGATGTTTTCTACTTATTCTGCTAAACAAACCAGAAAAGATAAAAACAACAATAACCAAAAATGCTTCACTCTCAAGTACAAAGTTCTTAAATACAAGTTAGCAAAGGTAGCTTGGGAAAAGGTGTTAGAAGGAAAAACACTGGGCTCTGTAAGACACCTAGTAAGTGTAAACCATTTCTATCCTTACAATGGGGGAAAAAAAAAAAAAAAAAAGGAATAGATTTCAACATATCTGATTTCTATGGTTTAGGGGTAATTATCTAACTATATAAACATTAGCTCTTAAAATTTTAATATAAATTCTTTCAAATATCTGTAGCCAAAGAAAGAATCTTTAAAAATAAAGCACAAAACATTCATCATCCTCAGGTTATTCTAAAATTATTTCTTTTGAAACAAAACACTGAAAAATTCCCTTTCACACATTCAGTTTAAAAGTTAAATGCAATTTTCATAAAGCCTCAATTATTTCTATATCCACTATTTAAGACATTGGTCCCACATTGCCATTTGAATGGAATAAGAAATCTCCATTGTCAGTGGGGGAATGACTTTAACTAAAAATTGGAGAGTATTCATCTATTTTTAAAAAGTATAAAGCATTTTCTTACCTTCATAGGCTGTTCCACACCAAATACAATACAGATGTTCTTCTCTTAAATAACTAGTCAATATTTGTAATTTTTCCAGTACCTAGATATAGGATACAAGCACATTAATACTTTACATTGAACAGAACCTTGGTTTTCTGGCTCTTAGATCATGCTGAATTAGCTCAAGGCTGTAAATATTCTGCTATACTCTGGAATAGTTATTAGAAATGTCAAGGGCAGAACTGATATATTTGAATGTGTTCCAGTTCATTAGCCACCCTGAGATTTTCACAAGTCTGCCAGACACAATAGAGACTGCTTGTTAACATTGAGAAAATAGTTTTCGGGTGGCCTTATTATAATCAGCATCCTTTAAAGGCTTTTTCTACTTTCAAGGCATCTACCTCCCCCAGATAAGGTGAAGGTGAATATTGCCTCCTTTTGCCAAAAAAGTTCTTATCAGTGGTCTCCCAATTAAGTGGAATATAGATTTTTCAAATTGTGAATGTTTTCTACAAAATTATTACACTCAAGTAACCATAGGGGTGTATTTTCCTTTCTTGAATAATCTCCATTTCCGTTTTTTTTTTTTTTTTTTGAGACAGGGTCTTGCTCTATCACCTAGGCTGGAGTGCAGTGGCGTCATCTCGGCTCACTGCAACCTCTGCCTCCCGGGCTCAAGTGATCCTCCTGCCTCAGCCTCCCAAGTAGCTGGGATTATTGGGTGCCCCACACCTGGCTAATTTTTATATTTTTAGTAGAGACTAAAATACACCACCATGTTGGCCAGGCTGGTCTTGAACTCCTGACCTCAACTGATCCACCAGTCTTGGTCTCCCAAAGTGTTTGGATTACAGGTGTGAGCTACTGCGCCTGGCCTCCATTTCCTTTTGATTGTGTTTTTTTGTTGTTTATGAGTAGGAGAAAAAAAAGTACACATTAGAATCACTTGTAGAAGTTTTGCAGGAAATAAGGTATAAATTAAAATAATTTACATTTGTTGCTAATTCATCATCCGAACTGTAGCTGAGATGAGAGGACAAATGGAAGCTAAAGGGAAAAATTATATGTAAGTTTTCATTTGGGGTTAATAAAATAATCCTGCAACGCAGTACCTCTCAACCAGGGGTTATTTTTCCCCTCTGGGACATTTAGTAATGTCTGGAGAGGGTTTTGGTTGTCATAAGCAAAAGTGCAACTGGTATCTGGTGGGCAGAGGCCAGAGATGCTGCTAAACATCTTGCGAAAAACAGGACAGCTCCCCACAACAGTGGATTACCACAACTCAAAGTGTTAATGTTGCCAAGGCTGAGACACCCTATGAAGGAAATGGTGCCAAAGCATACGCTTAAATCTTCACTCTTATATTCATCTTCATCCTGTTCTTTTTCCTCTTCATCTTCTTCAGTCTCCTCTTCAAGCCTCAACCAGTACCATGCTTCCCTGGGAACCTGAATATTCTGAAAATACAGAAGTATTCTCAATTAAACATACTAAACATAAGAGCATGACAAATATGTTCATTTCAACATGAATTCATTCTTTCAATACGTATTCACCAAGTGTGGCTTTAAGAGTAAAAACACTTTACAAAATTTATATATTTATAAATTTATATATTTATGAAAATATATAATTTTATATAAATTATCACAGATCAGAAGTGCACATTACATGAAAGCTTTAATGAGTAGATAAACCAGGCTTGGAGTTCTTAGTTTTTTAAAAATATATATATACACACACATATATAAATATGTATATATATACACACACATATATATGAAATCACAGTGGGCACCAAAACACTTTACTAAACTGAAAGCTGGTAAAAGGCTTACTTTCTGGGCATCCAATTGTTGACAGGCTCGCTGGCTTCTTCTGAGATCTCCTTCTAGCTTCATTTCATCTTGCTTATTTTTAAGTCGCATTCTAATTGAAAGGAAAAATTATACACTGAAGGTCTACATTCTCTTTAACCATTTTATATGCCCAAGTACCAGAGAACATACCACAGTAAAGAGGAAATAAAACCAAAACCAGCTCAAAAACAGCTTTACCGAAACTGTTCTGCAGCTTTTTCTTCAGCTTGGTTTTTCATGTGAATCTTTTTTCTGTAGCTTTCCAGTTTTTCCTCTGCTTTCCGTTTTAATGATGCCTCATGACCAATGCCACTTTTCCCTATTCGAACCGAAAATTCTGATGAGAGACATACTGACTTTGTGCTTCAAAACAAGACAATGTATGTACAGATTAAATGCAATTCTCACTTGAGTACTACCACTCACAAATCATTTGAATACGCTAATAGTAGAAAACACTAAGGTTTTTAAGCCCAAAACATAATCTGATTTTTACAAAGATTATTAATCTCATAAGATAGTAATACTATGAACAATTTTTCGAATCAGAAAAACAGTATTAACTGTTATAGTTTTACTTAAGTATGATGAATAAAGTATATCTTTTTCTCTTGAATTCATCCAATGTATTAAGCAAAACATTTGGTAGGTAAATCTGTCTCAGAACACTTTTATTCTATTTTATTTTTATAGAGACAGGCTGGTATGTAGTGGCACAATCATGGCTCACTGTAACCCTGAACTTGTGGACTCCAGGAATCATCCCGCCTCAGCCTCCTGAGTAGCTAGGACTACAGGTATGTGCCACTACACCCGGGTAATTTTTAAAATTTTTGGCAGAGACGAGGTCTTGCTATGTTGCCCAGGCTGGTCTCAAACTCCTAGCTGCTTTTTTTTTTTTTTTTTTCATGTTGCCCAGGCTGGAGTGCAATGGCGCAATCTTGGTTCACCGCAATCTCTGCCTCCTGGGTTCAAGCGATTCTCCTGCCTCAGCGTCCCAAATAGCTAGGATTACAGGCATGCGCCACCATGCCCGGCTAATTTTGTATTTTTAGTAGAGATGGGGTTTCTCCATGTTGGCCAGGCTGGTCTTGAACTCCCGACCTCAGGTGATCTGCCCACCTCAGCCACCCAAAGTGCTGGGATTACAGGCGTGAGCCACCGCGCCCAGCCGACTCTTGGCTTTAAGCAATCCTTCTGCATCGGCCTCCCAGAGCCAAACAGTTTTAAGACATTTCAGTGGACAAAAACAGTATTGCACATTCAACGGTTATAATGATTTGTTCTTCCCACATTTGTGTAGTTTAAATTTTATTTTATACTCACTAAAACTTATTTCTTTTCTGGTTGAAGATGTTTAGAAATTTAACAAAATTTTACTGAACTGTAACAGTACCATCATAAAAAAAAAAGTATTTATGAGCAAATATATGTGGTAGATCTAAGGGTAAGTTATTATTACTGGCAAATATGCTCCAAAATAATTACCTACCTGTTTTGATATTGAGAGGAATCGGTTCAACAATACCACCCCCTGAAAGAGAATGAAATACAAACTACTTTAGAAAATCTTCCTCAAACTACAGGACAGTATAAGTATGCAACTTTACAATGCTCTATGCATATGCCCTCCTGTTTCAATGATATTCAAAACTGAAATCTGAACATCAGTATTCTATATATAATCAATTACCTCCCTTGTCTTCAAATACCTATTCATTAGGCTGATTCACAGCCTCCTATGCCACCTGAAGGTGGAGTTTTAAGAAGGAACAACACTGATATTATTAGTGCAAGAGGGTGATAGCCTTAAGTGAAAGCAAAGCAATTACGATAAAGGAAAGAAAAACTGTTTACAGAGGTTACTATAAATATATAGCCTCTCTATCTTAATAAGCAGTTTCACTTCCTAAAAAGAGAGGTGAGAATTAAGCTTCTCCAACTGGACAGTCACTCAGATGGCTGCCACAGGTACAGAGCAAGCAGGGCAAAGTCTTGCCATCATCCTCAGTGCTGTTTCAATGTCTTTAGCTATTGCACTTCTCAACCCACCACTTATCACCATTCTTTGCTACTTCTGTTGTAAGCCACATCCATCTCAGTTGTTAGTGCCTTCAAGGCTAAGCTGGGCTGATAAGCAGCTCTTGATGGCATATGTGGTATCTAAAATAGATGCGGGATGATGAAAGTTCTCCATAAGGCTTATTAATACATAATAGACTAAAAAGCCCAAGTTGTTTTAATTTCTATGTAGATAAAGATTAAAGCATCAGCTTTGGTCCTCATTCATAAGTCACAATTAGGTGTTAAGGAATACCTGTCTATTTCCACTCGTGACTTACCACTCTTGCCAAGTGCCTGACCACTTTTATAGCCCATCTTTTGCAGCAAGGCAAACCCTTTGTTTTCACAGCCTAGTGCATTCTTCAACCCAACGTTACGTCTTTCTTGTTCTTCTTCTTTTAAACTCTTCTGCCTGTTTTTCAAATTGGCTTCCTGTTGCTTTTCTTCTTTTCGGCGGGCTTCTCGGATTTGCCTTAGCATTGGCAATCCTGGTCTGATATCTTCTCTGAATAAGGGAAAAGTTTTTTTAGATGAGTCCATAAAGTTTTCTTTTCTTTTTTAAAAAATTTTTTGAGATGGAGTTTTGCTCTTATCGCCCAGGCTGGAGTGCAATGGCATGATCTCGGCTCACTGCAACCCCCACCTCCTGGGTTCAACCGATTCTCCTGCCTCAGCCTCCTGAGTAACTGAGATTACAGGCGCCCACCACCATGCCCGGCTATTTTTTGCATTTTTAGTAGAGACAGGGTTTCGCCATGTTGGCCAGGCTGGTCTCGAACTCCTGACCCCAGATGATCCGCCTGCCTCGGCCTCCCAAAGTGCTGGGATTACAGGCATAAGCCACCACGCCTGGCCAAGTTTTCTCATAACTCTGTCACTTACTCACCTGACAACAGTTACTATTTCGGCACTACCTCTATGATCATCTTTGTTATTATGACATTAGAGCCTAATCAGTGACCTCTAAGAATGGCTGTTTTAGTAGAAATGATGAAGGCTGGTGCCAGATCGTAGGAAAATAAGGAAAGCACAAAGTTGAAGAAATTAGATATAGTAAGTTTAGACTTACTATGTTTCTAGGATGTTGGCAATAATAAAGAACAAAGTTGTATATAATAAAGAACAAAGTTGTCCCAACTACTAGAAGAGACAATATGATGAAATACAGGAAAAGGAGTAAATTTCCTTGGAAGAAGGCAATAAAAAGGATCATGGGCAAAAGTACAATGGTTAGCATTAAAAGGAGGAAGTGGCTTCTAGTATCTTTGTATGGAGGCATAGGAGGTACTTCCATAAAGCAAGAAGACTGACTTTCCAACCGCACATTTAAACTCAATGTCAGGCTGGGCACGGTGGCTCATGCCTATAATCCTAGCACTTTGGGAAGCCAAAGCCTGAGCTCAGGAGTTAGAGACCGGCCTTGGCAACATAGTGAGACCTTGTCTCTGCAAATAATAAAAAAGAAGAGTTAGCTGGGCATGATGGTGCAGGCCTGCCAGTCCCAACTACTTGGGAGGCCGAGGTAGGAGAATCTCCTGAGCCTGGAGAGTTTGAGGCTGCAGTGAGCTATGACTGTGCCACTGCACTCCAGCCTGGCTTGCAGCGTGAGACCCTGTCTCAAAAACATAAAATAAAATGTCATTGCTTAATCTACACATCTTACACATATCATTGCATTGGGTATGCACATTTACTTACTGGACATTAATGAAGGAATCAGACATATAGTCCTCTTCTTCTGCCATGTTCAACTTCATATGGCTATAGTATCTACAAATAAAGTAACAATTACTTTTTTTTTTTTAGTTTATCAGAATGGAAATAAACCTTTCTGTATCTGCAGCCATGAGCTGTCTCTAGAGCTCCACTATATATTCAGGTGCCCTTTGGACATCTTTATCTGTGGACGTTTCGAACTCAACACTCATTTCTTTCCCCTCTCCCCAGCCTTCTACATCCCCTGTATTTCCATATTAATGTCATCATTATCTCCTTCTTCCTGACCTCTTATGAAGCTCTGTCAAGTCTTCCTCCATAAAACTCCTCACAGACATTTTTTCTACAGCTGCGACCACTGCTTTAGTTTAGGCACTTTTTTTTTTTTTTTCCTCACCTGAACTATTACAACAGCTTCTTAACCAGCTTCTTAGTTGGTCTCCTCTTCCAATCCATCCTCTGCACCCCATCCAGAGGTTTTTTGTTTATTTGCTTGTTTGTTTTTAAATACAAGTCAGGTCAGGTTACTAGCCTGTTTCAAATCCTTCATTAAACCTGACTCTGTAGGCAGTGGGGGACCAGTCAGTTTTGCAAAGCATGAGATGTTGTCCTTCATAATCTGACACAACTGTCCCTAAGGATTCATTATTCAAGCCCCATGGCTTCTCACGGCCCTCTGAACACAGCATAGACATTTCTTCCCTGTAGGCCAAGGCTACCCTCCCTTCAGAAACCTGTCCTGACCACTCCAGGCCTTTCTCTACAGCACTTTATGTCCAAGCTGCTCATGTGGAACTCAATAGAGTTAACAACTCACTTATATGGAAATATTTTTGAGGGACAGTTTCTATCCAGAATAGTTAAAATCATGTAATTACTGGCCCTTAATGGGTTAAAGTAATTATCTACAAAAGTACTACTCAAACTTTATTGTGTATACAAAGTGCATTGAGATCTTCTTAAAACGCAGAATCTGATTCTGGGGCTGGAACCTGAGGTTCTGCATTTCTAACAGGTTCACAGGCAATGTCAATGTTGCTAGTTCAGTTGCTTTTAAGACAAAAGTGTAGTCACTTGTTGTGGTGCATATATACTGTTTTTTCCTGCCTACCATCTTTTCCTTTGGGAACCCAACCCTCTGCCCTTCATGTGGTTCTAGTAGAAGATGGCAATGTCACTATCCCATATTTCCTTGGGCACAAAGATGGTGAATTATAGTACCCTATGTCCAGCAATAGGGGACGAGATGACCCAGCCAGGGAAATAACCATCTCTTTCCTTACATTATATGAATATATGGGTTGTCGGGGAAAGAAAGTCTTTGATGGGTGTTTCTGAACTGGGAGGATGTGAAGCTGGGCTGTGGATGGCCATCTTCTTGGCCACATGAAGGGATCTTGTCTGAAGAATGAAGCCAGATAGAGAAAACGAGCCTAGTTTTCAAGGCCGTGGATTCTTTGATGCTGCGACTTAGCATTCTACCCCATTACATAGACTAATACATTTCTGCATTACCTAAGCTTGCGAAGTAGAGGTTCTGTCAACTGCAACCAAGTGTCTAGAAAATTACACTGGATGAAAAAAGGATTACTATACTATTTTTTAATGGTTTTCTTTTTTGCTTTTTGAGACAGAGTCTTACTCTGTCGCCCAGGCTAGAGTGCAGTGGTGTGATCTCAACTCACTGCAACCTCCACCTTCTAGGTTCAAGCAATTCTCCTTTCTCAGCCTCCCGAGTAGCTGGGATTACAGGCATCCACCACCACACCCAGCTAATTTTTGTGTTTTTAGTAGAGACAGGGTTTCATCATGTTGGACAGGCTGGTCTCAAACTCCTGGCCTCAAGTAATACACCTGCCTCACTTGGTCTCCCAAAGTGCTGGGATTACAGGCATGAGCCACCATGCCTGGCCTGGTTTTTTATATTTTTAATGTATATCTTCTCAACTAGATAATGTATATCTTGTGTTAAACACAAAAACAAGTCCCCTATATCATCCCTACCTATCACTGCATCCCAAACATAAATGCTTAATAATTGTTTAGCAACAATGAGGATAAAAAGGGTCTTTAATATTTGTGATTTTATAACTTTTTCCTATGTCAACATGTCATTTTTAAACACTTTTTAAATAAGTACAGAAAACACATAAAACAAACACACAGCTTAATACATTTTTGTGAGTCAAACATTCTTGTAACCATGTGGTACCCTCCAACATGGCTCCCAATCATTCTTGCTGCTTGGTTTTCTACATCCTTAGTGTAGTCTCCTTCCACAGTGAACAGGATTAATCTGTGTAACCAATAGGATTTTGTGGAAATGATGGAGTTGATTTATTGGTCATAACTGCAGCTCTTAGGTCATTCTAACTTTGAAATTGGATGACTCACTTGAAGGAAGTCAGCTGTCACATAATAAGTATACTCAAGAAGCTCTATGGAGAAGGTCACACGATTGGAATCAAGACCTCCTATTAAAAGTCAGCACAAACTCATAAGCCACAGGAGCGAGCTACCTGGGAAATGGATCCTCTTGCTCCAGTCAAGGAGGCCTTCAAATGACTCAGCCTGGGCTGGCATCTTCACTGCAACTTCTTAAGAAAGTCCATGCTAATAAACTAAGCCAAGCTGCTAACAAATTCCTGACCCATAGAAACTCTGAGATAACAAATGATTACAGTTATCTTAAGCTGTTACATTTGGGGATAATTTGTTATGCAGCAAAAGTTATCAGGAGGTAGAACCTTATCAGGCACCTGGGAGCCCTCGTCCCCTACCCAGTTGCACCTCTCTTTTGGTTCTAAGAATAGTCACTATTCTGGTTTTTATGGCAATCATTTCCTCCATTTTCTTGGTAGTTTTGTCATCCACGTGTGCATCTTTAAACATTACAGTTTAGTTTACCTATTTTTATTATAAGCTAAAAACGTGCACTATTATATACAGCATTTATAATTCACCTACTCCCTCTAAACCTGATTCTTCATTTGTAATAACAGCATTTTTACACATAATGGTTTAACATTTACCCAGTATATCACACATTTTTATCACATTTAACCACCACTAACAACTCTACAAGGTAGGAATTGTTTTTCCTATTGGAGAAATTAAGGCTCAGTATGGCTAAATGACTATTTCAAAACCACAAAGAATCCAGGTCACAGTGCCTTGCAAATAGGATTACATTGTTTTTAAGAGACCTATTTAAAGTGCCAGGCACATCTGAATGGGGTTACAGGTTGCTTTTAAAGCTCTCTTTCTATTGGTAAAATATACTTTAGCATTATCCATTTCCATCAAACATAAGCATAAACGTCACAAGGCGATACTCTGGCAGAGATGATGGAGGCTTGGACCAGAGTGATAGCAATGGAAGTGGTCGCATTTGGGGTATACCTGAAGGTAGAGCTTACAGGATTTGCTGATGTTGTAGGTAGTATGTAAAGAACGATGTCAAGATAACGCTAAGTTTTTGGCCTGAATGCGTGGAAGGAGTTAACATTTTTTGAGAGTGGGAAGACTGTAGGAGTAGGTTTGTTTTTGTTTTTTTACTGGGTGTAGTCAGGAAACAGACATATTGAGAGTACTATTACATATAAAAGTGGAAAGATGGACCTACAGTACAAATGTGACAAGAAATGTCCCACTCTCAACACTACGCTCAGGAACCGCTGATCCCTTCCCTCCCGCGTTCCTCCTGGCTGCAAGCGCCCCGCAGACGCAACCACCCATGGATGGAAAGATGGCTGACGGTGTGATATGGTACTCACGGCCAGCGCACGCTGCCTTTTATCATTCTACCGGCGCTCCCCAGACCCTTACCTGACAGCTCTCTTATCTGACAGCTCTCTACTCGCCCCGGTTCAGCTCCGCGGAGCGCGCGCTGCGCATGCGCCCACCAACCAGCATCGGACTTCCGGGCCTCGGCTCACAGCAGTTTCCGAGCCCAGACTCAATTGGAAACTTGCGGTGGGTGATAGGAGGACGTGGTGATTGCGCTTGCGCAAGACCAGCCCTCCGCGCAAGCGCTGTTCCCTTGTTTCCTGCAGGCAGGAGTGCGGGAGGTGGGGCATCCGGGTCTCTTGGTGGCTGCCTCTGCCCCCGGAGCTCAGCTGATCTGCCTTTTCAGACTAGAAGGTGAGGTCGCGGAAGCATGCACGTTGACACGCACGGACTCCTGTCCCACGTACATTTTTAGACGGGTGGGGAGGAAATTTGAGTTCTTACTGAACATTTTCCCTTTTCTGGCTCCCTGCGCAGTTCCGAGCCGCCGCCTCGTGCTATTGACAGCCTGCGGAACCCCACGGAGGCTTGCGGCGGCCTCTTGCGTTTCCCCGGGTCCGCCGCTTTCGGTTTTTGGAGTAGCCGGGTGAAGCCAGACCCCGAGCGCGCGAGGCTTGTCGGGTGCATTCCTGACCGCCCGGTGTTGTCACTGAGGCTTTGGCCGCCGGGACCTGGCCGCCCCACCCATCCTCTTTGGAAGAGTCTTGGAGACCTGCAGTTCGGGATGTCTGTGCTGGGTGTTTTGACCTCAGTCCCCCGATCAGGTGCAGCGCGGGAGGGTAAAGGTGCGATATACCGAGCAGTGGACGAGAAAAAGAGGAGGATGGTTGTCAAGCCCGGCTGGGGTGTTTGATCTTAGTGCTTCAGTTTTCTCATTTATAGAACGGGTAAATGACATATGTGTTGCTGGACATATTTCTTCTGGAATAATGCCTTTTTTTGGGCAATAATTTATTTTAATTTTCCTTTCACTCCATGATTCATTCTTCCTTATACCAAGCAGTTTTTTTTCGCTTTTCTTTTTTGTTTGTATTTTTGTCCTTTAAAAGTATGTTTGTTTTCAGGTTTTGCCTCAAAGAAGTTGAGTTTTTCCCCAAAAGAAATGGGTAGTCATACTTTTCTTAGTGGGTATATTCCATAAAGCTTGACTTTCAACATTAAAAAAAAACTTACAAGTATTTTTTACTTTGTTAAATTTAAGGTGTGAATTTAAAACTTCAGTAATGGAGTTAGCCCACAGTTTATTGCTAAATGAAGAAGCTTTGGCTCAAATCACTGAAGCAAAAAGACCGGTTTTTATCTTTGAATGGTTGCGATTTCTTGATAAAGTCTTGGTTGCTGCCAACAAGGTATGGTATTGCTCTTTTTTCCCAGTTGCATTAATGTAAAGAGATTATGTGGTCATGATTCTTAAGAAAACATATATTATGTTTTGGAAGGTTTGTGGGTCACTTATGGAACTTGAGAATATTGCACGAATGGGAATTTAGTGGCAAAACTCAAACCTCGTTTAAATCCGGCTCATTGCCTACCTTCTTTATATCTCTACCTGTGCAGTTCATTGTAACTGGAGAAAAACATGGCTACGTGATTGGTGTCACTTTAAATTTATCATCACCCATTGCAAGTGATCTCTCTATGCAGCCTAACAATCCCAGTATCTTCACTTATCTCTCTGAGGAGTCAATAATAGGCTTTTTTTTTTCTTTGTTTTCTTCCTGCGTATTTTTTATTGTCTGTGTATTTTATATTCTGTCTTTAAAAGTAGCTGTGGCCCGGCCTGGTGGCTCACGCCTGTTATCCCAGCACTTTGGGAAGCCGAGGTGGGCGGATCACCTGAGGTCAAGAGTTTCAGACTAGCCTGGCCAACATGGTGAAACCCCGTCTCTACTAAAAATACAAAAATTAGCCAGGCATGGTGGTGGGCGCCTGTAATCCCAGCTACTCGGGAGGCTGAGGCAGGAGAATCGCTTGAACCTGAAAGGTGGGGGTTGCAAGGAGCCTAGATCGCGCTATTGCACTCCAGCCTGGATGACAAGAGTGAAAACTCCATCTGGGGAAAAAAAAAAAAAAAAGGTAGATGCTTCCCTCAAATGTCTGATGATCTTTGGCTGCCTGTTCAAATTTAAAAGTGAGTAGTAAAACCTTTTCTCAGCAGGGCCAGTCTTTTAAACTGGACTTCACTGTAGGCTGGTCTGGTTCCTGACCGTAGTATTTCAGATTTCTGTAGGCTGCTTATTCCCCAGAAGATACTTTTCTACTCTCAGATCTGAAGAGTATATGGCTAGCTGGCTATATTCTTGGAATTGTGGGAGAAGAGTGGAGACTTTAACATTCAGTATGTGTACTTTCACTGCATATCTGTGTTTTCAGTGCAGTTTTCCCAGACCGCAACTGTGCCTGGGGTCTCCTAGTCTAGACATACGGTATTTCACTCTTCCCAGAGAATAAGGTTTCAGTCTGCTTCCATAGTGGAGAAGAGGAGTCTTACTGCTTCTTAGACTCTCAACCATTCCCTCTCTCTCAAGGTACAACTTCACTCCCACCTCCAAAAGCACCTAGGGCTTAAAAATACCACGATCTCTTAGGGGGTCCTGTGTAGTAAGATAGGTCCTTTCTTAGCTTTCCCTGTTGGGAACACTTGGTTTCCAAATATTGTGCTGATTCTTTTTCCTATTTTCTTTACCCTTTGGATTTGTGCTTTGTTGTTATTGTTCCTCTTGTTGCCCTTTAGTATGGTTTTAATGGAGTTTCTATGGAAACAGTTAATGCTTGACCTAATGTAAATGAGTTAATAGGTGCAGCACACCAACATGGCACATGTATACATATGTAACAAACCTGCACTTTATGTAAGTGTACCCTAGAACTTAAAGTATACTAATAATAACAACAACAACAAAAAGAAACAGTTAATGCATGGATTCACTTGTAATCTTTAACTAGAAGTTTCTGTTTTCTCTTAAATCCCCTACAACCGGGGATTTACTTCCACTCCACTGAAACAGCTCTTGTCCAGCCATCAGTGGTCTGGGCAATCAGTGGTCAGTATTCTGTCTTATTTGATCCATCTCTATCTTTTCACCTCGAAACACTTAAAACATCTTTAATTTTGTTGTGAAATTGATAAATACAAGACTATATAAAACATAGTTATGAAACATAATATGAATATCTGTACACCCTCCACCCAAATTAGAAAATAATATTGTTTTCATTGCTTTGCACAGTTTGTGTGAAGTTTTCTTCCTGTTCGTGGCTTCCCAAGACACTGTTAGGTTTTGGTTCCTCTCCCACTTCACTAACTACTAATTGTTCTTTTTTAAGTCTTCCTCAGTTCAGGGCATTTTAAAAAAATCTGTACATATTCCCTCAGTGATATCTAATTGCGTGATTTTTACTATCATCTATGAAATAGTGATTCCCAGAATAATGTTTACTCTACTTCTTTCTTACCTAAGTGGCATCCCAGAGTTAACATACCCAAACCAAATTCTTGATTTCTCCTCCCAAACTTGTCTTTTCCCCTATGTTCTCTATCTCAGGAAATGACCATTTCATCCTTCTGGTTGCTCAGGGGGAAAACCATAGAGTCATTTTTGACTTCCCTCTTTTTCTCAAATTTCACGTCATATTCACCAGCAAATCCTATGGTTTCCTCCACAAATTAATCCAGAGTTTACTTGTCTCCATGGTTACCACTATCATCTCTAGATTATTGCATCTGCTTCCTATTTGCTCATGATGCTTTCCATTTGTGGACCTTATAGAGTATTCTTAGAAGTCAGAGTGAGCCTGTTAAAACATTTAGATCACGACCCTCCTCTACTTCAAACTCTTACTCAGAGTAATATACAAAGTTCTCTTAGTGAGAGTAACATACAGAGTTCTATAGTGGGGTACAAGAGACTACCTGATCTGGCCCCTTCTATCCTTCTGACTTCATCTCTTACTACTTTCTCTCTCTTACTCCGCTCCAGTCAAACTGGCCTTCTTGCTGTCTTCAAGGATGCTAAGAATGCTCCAACCTCAAGGCCTTTATGCTTGTTCCTTCGGCCTGGAATGTTCTTCCCCTGGGTATCTGCCTGGCTCACCCCTTCGCTTCTTTTCAGAGAGAGGCCTTTTCTAATTAATCCACATAAAACTGTAAGCACCCATACTATTCATTTGTTTGTTTGGTAAACTCTATCCCTCCCCGCTAGAATGTAAACTTCATGAGGGCAGGGACTTGTTGTCTATTTTGTTCACTGTTGCACCCTAGTACATGGCATACATTAAGTACATAATAAATATTGTTTGAATAAATGAATGAATTCTAGGTATTGATTATGGGTAGAGCTGGGTATTTTTTTTCCTGTTGCCTAGGGCTCTTCAGTTTCTTTTGGTTTCATTTGCTGGCCTGTAACTTTATGAACTGTTGACTTTGCTTTTACATGGAAAACCTATCTGGGTTGTAAGATGTCAGTTGTCCATACACCCAATATTTTGCTTCTTTCGGCTGCTGATTTATTTCTCAGTAAGTTGGTCTCATAACTTTTTGAATCAGAGTCTTCACTTTTATTGGAGCTAACCTTTTGGCTTTGGAGGAGAATGAAGGAGAATATTTAATGTAGGAAAGAATGGCTCATTTCTTACTGAACTTTTCCATAACTTAAAAATTCTCACGGTTTATGTTTAATACAATACAAATTTTTAATTATTAGAGTGCCTTAAGCGTTAAGTAGTTTTTATTTTGATTAAAAGGTAACAAAAAAATTTTTTAATGATGTTCTTTTAAAAATGTTTTTGTAACAGACCGATGTAAAGGAAAAACAGAAAAAACTTGTCGAACAATTAACTGGATTAATAAGTAGTTCACCTGGACCACCTACACGAAAATTGTTAGCTAAAAATCTCGCAGCCCTTTATAGCATTGGAGATACTTTTACAGTTTTTCAGACACTTGATAAATGCAATGACATTATCAGAAATAAAGATGACACTGCAGCCTACTTACCAACAAAATTGTAAGTACTTACTTTAACAGGGGCCCTTGAAGTTTTATTTTTTCTTTCAAGGAAACTTAGTAGGAGACTATGGACCATAAAAACCCCCAGGTGGGTGGAACCTGTGACATGCTGCTAACAATG